TTAGACAACAACTGTTACTTAAATTTATATGGAGACGAACAAAAGAAATATTTAAGAGTTTATGAAATGACAGATATGACATTGCCTAACCTAGCTCCAGCACCATATTATTATGACTATGGAGATGACGTCAGAACACCACATGTAGATGAACAAAAGCTCAAAATTTACCACGAATCATAACAAGGGAGGAAACGATAAAAATGCTGCGAGAACTTGCTAAAAATAACAAACCACTAAAACTGAGAAAATGTGGTTATGCAGTAATGATGGAAAGAGAGATGTTGTCAAAGAAAAATAAAAATTAATTTTGGATTGAGTTTAAAAATTCATCTTTATTAAATTCATCTCTTCCAATCAATTTATTTATTCTATTAAATTCTTTTATTTTTGCTTCACTTAGTTTAAGGATTGAACGGTAAGTTTCTAATTTTTCGATTATTTCTTTATCGTTTTCAACCTCACCGCATCGTGGCTTCTTTTTGTAATAGCATATTTTTGATTTAATTCTGTTTAGTTTCTTTTTATATTCATCGTCTGGACTCTTGACTGCTTCGTTGTCACTCATTTCTTACGAAATAAAAAAAATTAAATATTATTTAAATATAATGGAGTAATAAATAAATCGAATTTCTATTAATTTATTGTCAACTTCAACTAATGCATTGCCGTTAATATATCTAACAAATTCAGCTATTGTGTCAAATCTTCGTCTTCTTTTGTCATTGATTTATCAGTTTTTCCATAATCGAGATGAATCAAAACTTTATCCCTTGTTTAAAATTCATGAGCCCCGAATTAATTTGTTCACGTTTAACATCATTCAACCTTTCCATTTGCTTTCTAATATATTCCCATTCTTTTGAAATATCATTTTTCATTTCCACCGGTTTCATGTTTATAGTTCTATGCCATGTATTATTATAATAATATACTAACTGTTGTATGATGGAGTCATGATTTCCATCCCAGTATATCTGACCGTTAACCCCTAACGCATCTCTAAGAGTTCTCATTACCGCATCAACTATTTTATTATGAAACGTATATGGAGAGGATGAAAAGTAAAAATTAATTTGTGGGAAATAATGAGTCATAGTTGCCTGAAATCCTTTATCACTATCACCCCTGATATTATCTACTCTTTCATGATCTAGTAAGTATTGAATAGCTCTTCTTGTTTCCTGTTCTGTTTTCCCTTTCACTGGAATGCAATATAAATATCTGGTGTTAATGTTAATGGCAAATAAATAAGTAACGTTTCCTTTTGAATATTCTAAATGATCGATTTCGTATGAATATGGATATGGTGCAAATGAAGGGCGACCAAATTTTTCCTTTAACGGTTGAATTTTCGGGTCAATTGGTTTATTTAATATCTTGAAACCCTTTTTAAAATCTTTTTGCTTCTTTAATGTTTGAAATGGATATAATAAAGTGAATGATGAAGGATTAACTGGAGGAGGTGGTTTTGGTGTTGCAGGTACAGTCGTTGGAGGTTTTGGTGTTGCAGGTACAGTCGTTGGAGGTATTGGTGTTGCAAGTGGTTTAATTTTATCCGCTTTGATTTTGGATGATGAAGTTTTGGAATTCATTCCTTCCTTCATTAATTCTGGATGTATTCTATTCATTTGTTTTAAATATGCTGTATATAAAGGTTTGATATACTTTCCTGCTTCGAGTTTATGTTGAAGGATGAATTCCAAAAGTTGATCTTTATTTAAAAGTTGGGCTGAATGTGGTTTAACTAATGAATCATAAATTAAAGCTTGTGCATCATTTTTGGTCTGAAGGACCCGGGCGTTTTGTTTCTTTGTTTTTTGTGGCTCAGGATTATATAATTTATATAATTCATCAATATCTTCTTCTGTTAATACTTCATTTTGAAATCTTTCAAATGTTTAAGTTGTGATTTAGTTTTTTCCTTTGTATATTCATTATTTTTAATTTTATTTAATTTTAGAAATTATTTCATCATGATATTTCAAAAATTCATTATCATAATATGAATAATAATAATCTATATCATCATCCGTTATATTTTCATCATATTTTTGGAGATATGCTTTTAAATCATAATAACTAAGAAAATTTTGATCACGTACTAAATCATCAATTAAATTTTCTAAATCTACGTTATCCATTTATATAAAAATAAAAATAAATGTTTTAAGGGTGCCCACTCTTTGATCAAGAATCAAAACCATCATTCAACGGTTCCTTTTGTCTCTTCTGTGGCATTTCATTAAATAAACGGCATACAACATCCATTTTCACAACATACAGCCTTAGTGTGTGCTCCTGTTAATGCAGTCTTACCGATTGTTAAGCGAGTCATTGACCCGTTTTTAAGTTGTAAATTAATATTCTGACCATCAAATATCACTTTATCATTTATTATATCCAAATAATTTTTAGGTGTTAATTGTTTATTTTGTCGTAAACTAACTCCTTTCATTTTTTGTGCAATCTTTTTAAAATCACTTCCATCAATTGAACCGTTGAATGATGTATAACACTTGGGGCATAAAGCAACCATGTTATCACCTTGTTTCTCAATTGCTAAACCCAATAACTTTTCTCATGTGCTTTTTCTTCAGCTTTATTCTTTAATTTAGGTTTAAATTTCTCATCAAAACAGAAGAAATCAAAGGTGCGAATTTGTAAATGTTTTTATCATAAAATTGTTTATCGGTAACAATTGCTTGAAATGCTTGAGTGTTAGGAAGATTTGGATCACCAGCGATTGCCCAATAAGATGAATCAGTATCACCTTCAATGAAATGAAAACGATTAACATTCATGCATTTATACATAAAATCATAAATGAAAACCAAATACCAGTATTTAGCATTATCTAAAGTGAAGAATGCCTCTTGTAAACATGTTTCACATCTATAAAATCTATCTTTGAGCATCATTTGATATGTATCTTCACCTATTTCTCTTATGTTTTTAAACTTATTTGCCATACATGCAACGCGTGCCTTCTGTGCATTCATTATTTTAGTCTTTGTGTAATTTTGTGTATTCATTGCATCGTAACCATATGATCCATTAAGTGAAATCTTGCAAAATAAACTTTTTCCTTTATTTCCTTCTAATTCAGCCTTTTGTCTCTTCGTTCATAAATTTGTTCGCAAATTCATTAAAACAAGTGTTTTTAGTAAATGTTAAAATTGATTGAATGTCATCGATGATAAAATGAAATTTGTCTATTAGATACCAAAGATAATAAGAAGAAAATGGTTGATATTGGTTGTGTGTTGATGCTAACTGAGTTAATTTCCTCTGTTTCTGGTCAACTGGTAGATTGTTTGATTTCATGTAATTATACATAAAACTGCCAATTGTTTTTTCATCTGTGATAATATCTAAGTTTCTTATTATCGGTAAAAAGTTTATGTAATCATTAATGTATTTTTCATCAATGTGACCCTTTACTTCAGCCACGAATAAAGTATTTTTCTTCTTAATTATTCCCAGTGCTTTTGCTTTCTTTGTTGCTGTATCACAAATGATAACACCATTCAATCTTCCCGGCATATACATTTTATGGTCAGTATATTGAATGAAATCATGAGGATTAGATGAAAATGATGAAGGATATAATGAATTAAAATCAACTCCAACGAAATGAGTCATAATGTTGGTGGTGTCCTCATTTGATACAGTTTTAGTTTCTGGATTATATGCAAGTTTATTAATGTGCGTGATTCCTTTAAGATTTACTCTATGTTGAACATTTGATAAACCACCAGTAATTCCATTACGGAGAATGTGATAAGCTTCAACTGAATCTAAAGTCATTGGTAAATTATTTTTTAATGCATAATTTCTTAAATTGATTCTTAAACGTTGAACATCTTCATCTTTATTTGATTTTACGACATTGCAATAACAACACATTAACTGACAATTTTCTTTGGTATGTGGTTTTTCATTATCGATTCTATCCAATGTTGGTTTATTTGCATATGTAAACGCTTTACCACACATTTTGCATTTAGATGAAAGGATTAAATCGTGATAGTATTGAAAATCATCCATTGAAACATTATTTTTAGTATCCCTTTCTGCTTTTTCATCTTGTTTCTTATATGATTCAATTTTATATTTCCAATACTTTTTCGTTAATTCAAAACTTGATTCTATCTCTTCCTCAGGATATTTTTCATTAGGATTAAAGTCTTTATATGCTAAAGCGTAACGAATCATTGAAGCATTCGATGATAAAGAAAGATTATGAAGCATGTCAATTTTATAAACAAATGTTTCTTCAATAATTTTATCAATTGGGTCAATCATAATTTCAACATCTTTATTGCAATAATGAATAAAATATTCTAATCTATTCTTAAAGTTTTTAGCATCATTGAGATATATTTGATAATCACTATCTGATATAGTTTCTTGGGTTAATGCTGAATAAAATGAATCTTGAGTGAATGGTTCCTCTTTATATAATTCTTCTTCGTAATTTTCCCACGTGATGAATTGATAAGGGAAAAAGGATTTAACATGTGATTTATTGTTTCCGAAATCTTGAGTGAATTGGTCTAATGTCCCACTCGCTATATAATTTCTGATGTCAATAAATCTCAATTCATATGGAACGTTTGTTTTCTTTACAATGATTTGCTTAAATTGTGAAGATGAACCCAGCATTGATTTTATTTTCCATTTTGCAGTGTTTAAATCACGAAGAATTAAATTTAAATCAAACTTTCCCGAATTAAAACCTATGATATTCACTTTATTGAATTCCTCATCTAGAAGTTCTTTAAATGCTTCCTTCTGTTTTTCATTTAATGTATGAGACAAAGTCCCCGCCGTTTGCGACTTCATTAATTCTTCATATTGTTCAATATTTGATTTAGCAACTAATGAACAGGTTGAAAATAAAAACTCAATCCAATCAGAAATAAAAGAATCACTCGAAGTTAAGCAAAAATTCCTCGTATATGTTTTATCATTTAATTTAACCGTTGATGATACCATGAATGGTTTTAAGTAAGCGTTCAAAGTTGCACACTCAGAAAGTTGTAATTCTTCTTTAGTCTCTAATGTTTCGAAGTCAAAAGTAATATAATATCTTGTCGGTTTATAATATTTCTGCAAATTATGAGCTAATAACCACTGATATATCTTCTGTTTCGTAATATGTGGTGCATATGGTTGCTGTGTCTTTTGCAATTGAACGTCTTGAATTAATCTTCCATTATTTTCTTTACATTTCTCACAATGCTTTAAAAATCTTCTTTGGTTTTTCCTTTCTGGATCATCACGGATAGAATAAACTTCTTCTTTACAATATGGACAAACTCTATAGCCGGTGAGTGCTTCAACGTCTGTTATTCTGTCAGCGTGAAGTTTTCCACATGGACTCTGTGTTAATAAAATATTTACTGTTTCAAATTCTGGATCTATCATTATTGATTCCACTAATGGAAAGTCTACCTTATTTATGTCCACGTCTTCTGGTTGAGGATCACAATAATAGAAATCAATATTAACATTTAACATTCTCGCTAATCTCTCACTTTCTGATGAAATGTCAAACCCTTCATATGAATCTATTGCTTCATTTAAATAGCTTCTACGAGTTTTAGGATTAACACCATCAGGAATGTTATAGAAGCGTTTAAATAACCTTCTACCTTCTGCTCTAATTTGATTATCATTCATTTTAGCTGTTCCATTTTTGTTCATTTATGTAAGAATAAAAAATTAAAAAATAAAGTTTATTTTTTAAAGCCCATAAAATGAATTAAGAACACATAAATTTTTATCATCTGCGACGTGACGAATACATTTTAATTTACTCAAGAATGCGTACCCTGATACATTAAATCTAATTCCTGTCTTATTTAATTTCACAACTTTGAAAAGGAATGTATGAATAGCTATAAAATGATGAGAAGATGTTTTATGGGTTGCTTCCATTTTTTCTGAAATAAATGAATAAATATAATGTTTATAAGTTTTCATATCTTTTATGTTCTTAATAACGAATGGTATAGACCTTTCCACTTCATCTTCCTTCGGTGCTGTTCTTTCATATGAAACATTATTGGTATCTTCAATAATGAAACCACAATCACACAAAATTTTATATGTTCCAATGGTTTCTTTTGATATTTTATCTAATAAATCAAAAACTTTATCAACACCTGTGCATTTATTTAAATAATAATTTGTGTAAATATCATGATCTTCTTTCTTAATCGTATTAGTTGCATATGTCACGTTTTTAAGAGCTTTTTTGAATTTTTCGGAATCGAGAGGGGGTGAAAGTAAGATACAAGGGTATTTTTCATTATCAATAAATTGTAACTTATGTTTACGTATAAATTTAGTACCTTCTTCTGAAAGTGTTTCGTCTATTTCGCCATCTAATAAATTTTGTGTTGATTCTGAGACATAATTTTTATATCTTTCTTCATGAGATTTCTGAACTGCTGATTCTGAAGCTGGGATATTCATTAAACCCTCTACTTCATTTTCATTATATTTTTCAACTTCTCTTAATTCCTTAATTTTTTCATCTATTTCATCTCTTATTTTTTTCAGTCTTTCAATTTCATCGTATTCATCATCTTTAATTCGTTCTTCATAATATTCGGAGAAAACATCAGGTTCTTTAGGTTTTTCTTCTTCAGATGTAGGATATAAGAAATTTATAACATCATCTTTATTCATTTTTCCATCATAATCTAAATCATTTAATAACTCCGCGAATTTTTTACAATTTCTTAAATAATATTTATCAACTTCATAACACATCTCATCTAATATATCCTTTATTTCCTCGTTTGTGAATCCTAATTTTTTAACGTCGTTAGTTTTGACGCTCATTTCATACAAAATAAAAAATAAATTATTCAAAAATGTAAGACATGAATTTTTAAAGTTTATTTTATTCATGAAAATAATTATTTCTAATTTCTTCTTCTCGTTTATGAGGTCTTTGATTATGACTCCATTGATTCCATGAAATTAAATATTCTTTATCATTATATTTATACCTCATTAGCTTATTTTGGCTTTCATATTCATTTAATAATGTCGCGCTTTCTTACGAATTCATGACTTAAAAAACGTAAGAAAAAATCAAGATTTAAAAATGATACAAAATCGTTCTATATTGTATGAATTCTTACGTTTACAAAAAAAGTCACACAACCCTTCCACATATACTACTCACGAATGCTTTGGATAGAAGTCAATAATTCGTTTGATATTAAGATATTTCTGATTAAATAATAATTGTAATATATCATAATAAATGAAATTTTCAAAGCAAATGATGCATCATTATTTTCAAACAGTCAGAGTGGACTAAGAGGACTATTCTATAAGTTATATTATAGCAACCATAATATTTCCGATTATGGCTGAACAATAGCAAATGCTACAATTTAGAGTGGGGGACAAACTCGCCCATTGTCACTTTTTCATTAACCTTAAACTTGTAATTTTCATTATTTTTAATTAACCTTATTTCTTTCCCAATTCCTGATTTATTTTATTCACTTACTATTAAAAGTCACATTTTAATAAAATATAATAATTTATTTATAGCATTTTTTACTATACTGTAATAAAAAATTAATTATAATAAATTAAATGTTTATTAAATCAAATGTTTTCTTTGCAATAATATTTTTAATGTTGAGTAAACAATGTTGGGATCAAGTGTATCATTTTTCAGACCTTTCTGAACAGCTTCAAGCATACTGATGCATTCGACTTTTTTAAATTGTGTCATTTCTTCGAAATCTCTTGTGACTTTTTTGATAACTTTAACACTTCTCTCTGAATCCAGACCTTTAATTTGCAACTTAATCAGGAATGAAGGAACAACACTGGAATATAACTCGATGACAAGTTCATCGAGTCGAAGATTTGGTTGTACACCACTTGTATGTGCCGGATACCATTGTGTCAAATTTTTTCTGAAATTAACTTTAAAAGTACTAAGTAAGATCATGAGATATAGCAATATATGTTTAAACTAACTTATATTTTGGTTGTACACCACTTGTATGTGCCGGATACCATTGTGTCAAATTTTTTCTGAAATTAACTTTAAAAGTACTAAGTAAGATCATGAGATATAGCAATATATGTTTAAACTAACTTATATTTTGGTTGTACACCACTTGTATGTGCCGGATACCATTGTGTCAAATTTTTTCTGAAATTAACTTTAAAAGTACTAAGTAAGATCATGAGATATAGCAATATATGTTTAAACTAACTTATATTTTGGTTGTACACCACTTGTATGTGCCGGATACCATTGTGTCAAATTTTTTCTGAAATTAACTTTAAAAGTACTAAGTAAGATCATTTATTTTTGCATAATATAATGCCAATATGGTTTCTTTTGATTTTATTTCATTTATAAGCAAATCAGATTTACCCAAAAACTCCACTCCATAAGCGTTCATTTGCTAAATTAAAAAGTGACAATGGGCTAGTCTGTCCCTTTCTCTAAGAGGACTATTCTATAAGTTATATTATAGCAACCATAATATTTCCGATTATGGCTGAACAATAGCAAATGCTACAATTTATATTCGCCAAGGAATTTTGTCAAGCTTCAATTTTAAACCCTTTAATAATCGAAACAATTTTCTTGGATGACGAGAGTAACTTAACTATCAATACTTTGATGCTTTTATTCATGTTTTCTATTTCATCATCAATATTTGAAAATAAGTGAAAATTTTTTGTTTTGTGAATAAATACCATACTTTGTTTCATATGATTTTTCAATGTTGCTTGATAATCAAACGAGTACTTGAGTTTTAGAACATTTGGATGAAAAATATTTGAATCAATTTAGAAAAATATGGATATATTGCAAAGAAATAGTAAAATTCAGCTCAGCAGGTAGAACAGATCAATGGATTGACATGAGTTTGTATATCATTGTCATTTTGTATATTCTAATAAAAAAAACGAAACAAATTTTATATTGGGAAAATTGTCAATATTCTATTATGGATAGTCAGATTATGGATCAAATGTGAAGGTTTCGTAGCTCAGTAGGTAGAGCGTAGTGCTGATAACGCTAAGGTCTTGGGTTCGAGCCCCAGCGGAACCATTTTTTTATTTTTTGAAGCAAAAACATCATTGATGATGATTTGTTTTTACTGGAGATGTATCAATCAAAAAATGCTGTATGAATAATGATTTCGAATCTAATCAACAACAATAATACAATCAAGCTTCATATGATATAGAGATTAATTTAGATGATTGCGAAATAATCTTGAAACAGTTTTAGTTTACTTAGATCAAGCTAATGATGCCAATAAATGCTTTATCCATTCAACGTTATTTAATATTTCGTCCCTTTTCGAAACCAGTAAAAACAAATCATCATCAATGATGTTTTTGCTTCAAAAAATAAAAAAATGGTTCCGCTGGGGCTCGAACCCAAGACCTTAGCGTTATCAGCACTACGCTCTACCTACTGAGCTACGAAACCTTCACATTTGATCCATAATCTGACTATCCATAATAGAATATTGACAATTTTCCCAATATAAAATTTGTTTCGTTTTTTTTATTAGAATATACAAAATGACAATGATAACTTTACCAAAGCTCAGGCCTTCAATTTCACAAGTAGAAACACTCTTATCTCAACCAAGTCCAAAGCCTAGGCAAATCGAAAATGAATTAAATCGAATATCTCCCAAAATTATCGAATTAACGAATCTGATTGATAAACTTTTTTCTCAAATACCAAGCAATATTAGCGATGAATTCGAAGAAATGAAAACTCAAATAGAACTTGCTAAAAAACGCGGCAAATATACTGATGAAAGAGAATATATTGATTCTGAAAGACTTAGAACTAAAGGAAAATTTGAAATATCGGTTGCTTTAGAGAAAGAAAACATCGAAAAAGATGTTGAATTTAGATTAAATCAAGTTATCTATGATGCACAACAAAAGTCTCTTGAAATACCAGAAAACAAGGATGCAAATAGATATAACAGTATGAAGCAGCAAATTGCTCAGTACATTCTTCAGATTAACTCAAAAATTAATAATTTAGAACTAAAAATGTCCGGAACTACTTTAAACGAGTCTAAAATACCTTATTGGCAAATCATATCTGATACTGAAGTTAAATCTATTGATGTTAAAAACTCAATTAGTATGTTTGAAACGTTTATGAATGAAATTGAAGATGGACTGAAAAGAATACAAAAACTAGAAGCATTGCCAGTTATAGAATCTACTGAATCGCATGAAGATGTATATATGCTACCAAATTTGAATCCAAAATTGGATAATATTAATTCTATTATTGACGAACAAAGTGCAGAGCATGATAAAATGTTATTTGAAGTAGAAAGTAAGCTAATGTCCTACGAAAATCGTATTAAATCTTTAGAAGATGAATCATCAGAAATTTTGCAAAGTTTATCATCAATAGCTGATAAAACTGCTGAACAACAAAAGAGTTTGAATAGTTTAGACTCACTTATTGAAGAAATTACTAAATCAATGCATAATAATATTCAAGCTCTTCAAATCAAGTCAACATATGATAATTTCTCCACAAAGATTAAATCAATAGAATCAGAAATAGAAGATATGTCTCTTAAATTAAAGCGAGTATCACTTGAATTACCATTAATTTCAAATGACAATTCAACATGATTATTCTGATATTGTAACCATGGTAGATGTTAATCTGAATATAATTTCTCTTATGTATTTGCTCATTTTTGTAATTTCTTGTTATTTTATGAAAAATATTTCATATTTTTTTTTGTTTTATGCTTTCCTTATAAAATAAAAATTTGTTATGTTATTTATGATAAAATGGGGAGAAGCTTCCTAAACTTTTTAATCCCATAAATATGGTCATTATCTGGAATAAAGAGTTAAGCGTCATATGTCACTTTTTGTACTAAGGAAACATCGACTTTATGCGTTATGACTTTTCGATGAGGAAACAAGTGTTCACGTATTATAAACTTCCTTATTCCAATAAACCGGCCCTAAACATAATTAATTTTAAGCATTATAATGGTCTCTTTTCTATGATAACCAAATCAATTTGGTTATCATAGAAAAGCACCAAAAACTAGAATAGGAATCGGCAATATGGAATTATGAAACAACTAGGATAAAATGGATATGGGACATTCATGAATGCATTCACTTTTTTCAAGACTTTTTAATGAATTTCAAATTCCTCAGATTATTTTCAATAGATTTTCCGTACCATATCATTTTTATTAGACAAAGCTATCTTTTCGATGAAATTTTTGCAAAAATACTCTGTTTTGAAAAAGATTTATGTAAATTTTTTGATAAAAGTGTCTTGAATGATTATCATTGATAATACCATTCCAATTGAATGCTGTTTTCGGCTGCTTTTATAAAACTTTGATCATATTGTACTCATAATTTTTTTTTGTATTTTGGTCAAAAACTAAGCTAACATCAGCTGTATATTTGCATAAGCCATTAATAAGCTTTGGTATAGGTTATACTGAGTTTAGACGATCATACAATTTAGACTTTTTTCATTTAATTTAGTCTAACAAAGAGTGATTATCTTACTATTTGATTCATAAATATATAGGAAATAATAGTTTTATACCTTAATATGATAAAATTTTATAAAATTTTCCCTTCTCCTTTGGCAATATTAGTCATTAATAGATATATTTAACATGATGGTTCTAAATATATGAATAGATAAAATTTTCCTTTCAATTTTACGAACCTGGCGACAAATTTGCCCAGCCAGTAAAGTATTCAATTTTTTGCATTTTTTTAAGGGTGCACACGAGAGGATCATGTAAACTTCAGAATTTAGCTTCTTAAGGGTGCACCTGTATGTACGTTTATTTGAGAGGAGGAGGATTACCCTCTCAATTTTGAGGGATTCGTTAGTTTATTTTCTCGATGAATATGCAATAAAATTTGATTTTTACCTTATCAATATACTTCATATAATATACACATATTCATGTAAAAACTTTTTTCCAAAATCCTCAGGAATTAAGGGATTTTTGAATTTGAAGAATTTTTTTCGAATTTTTTCGAAAAAAAAATATTTTCAGAACAGCCTTAACGGCTAAGATTTAGGAACAATGTTAAGTATCAAAAAGAAAGGAGGTCTGATATAGACAACATATATCGTTGAAGGTTGAAAAAATCTCTAATATTTGAGCCCAAAATTTCAAATTTTAATTTTTTGAAAAAAGAGGCCACCCGTATGTACGTTTATTTGAGAGGAGGAGGATTATATTTTTGAAAGGGTGAAACATTATGAATATGTTAATTATATAATAATATGTATTATTATAAAAAAGAAAAAATAAAGCACGTTAAAATTTTTCTTTCTTGATTTTTTACAAAATCTACTTAGAATTATGCAAAATATGACTAAATAATTATAAATTTCAAGTTAAATTTTAATTTTGATAAATAATTTAAATTTCAAAATATCAAGTTCAGTTCGACTATGTATGTAGTAATTCCTCAATAAAGTGCCAAAATCCTATTAAAATATATGAACATTTTCAACATTTTAATGTTTTTATTTAAAAATTTGTTGGAATATGAGCTTCAAACAATTATTATGTAAATAAAAATAATTAAATATATGTATTTATTCGTATTACAACCGTAGTAAGTCGATTCTTCCTTTCTTCTACTGAGGTTTGAATTTGATTTCGAATTGTAAAGAGATTCAAAGGGAAAATACTAGCGGATAAAAACTACCTCCATGAAAGGGTCATAATGGAGTCAAGTTGTATTTTTTGATATTTTTTGCTTTTCGAGCCTAAATAGGTAGCCAAGATAATGCCTAAAAATAAGGTTCTAAATTCTGAAGTTTACATGATCCTCTCGTGTGCACCCTTAAAAAAATGCAAAAAAAAATGTAATAAAATAAAAAAATTTTTAGTATCGATAATCTGAAATATGTTGTTTACTTAAGCCGCTCGCTTCGCTCGCGGCTTAGTTTCGTAGTTTCGTATAATCTTTTTTCGAATCTGTTCTTTTCGTCAGCCGCGAGCGAAGCGAGTGGCTTAGTTTCGTAATTTCATACAATCTTTTTTCGAATCTGTTCTTTTCTTAAGCCACTCGCTTCGCTCGCGGCTTAGTTTCGTAATTTCATACAATTATTTTACGAATTTGTTCTTTTTGTCAACCGCGAGCGAAGCGAGTGGCTTTTTATTTTTTAAAATTTTTTTTCTTTCTTACTTTTTTTCCCCCTTACTTACAAATTTGATAGTAACTTACCAAATCTCTCTATCATATAATAATAAATTAATCCATTTTTTGTTTCAAATCTGACACTTTACATTTCTGACATGTAAATCTATCACTTTTCACTTCATCTCACTGGGCAAGTTTGTGCCCCCCTCAATTTTTTCTATGTTTATAGACATTTGGAACTTTGTATGAAGTCTAAATATACATGTAGAGTATTCAAACAAAACAAATATCAAAATCTAAACCTTTGAATTACCTTCAATGCTTAACCGAATTACTAGATCTTATATATATGTGTGTACTAATACCTTTTGATGCATAAAAAACTCCAAAAGAGTTTCATTTTTAAAATAGTCGATATCAATTCAAAAAAATTGAAACTATACCGTCAACTGTCAATTTTTCAATAGTTCGTTTTTTTAAATGTAATTGCTTTTTTTATATGCATTAATCATTTGATAGTAGTGGGATCAAATTACATATCTTAAAAATGTATTCCGAGTGGAAAAAAAAATCAATAGAATTGACCACAGATATCTGTTTAATCCAAAAATATTATTAGAATCATATTTAATAAAAATGCTATGCTTTTAGAAATAAACGGAAGAATAAACGCACTTTTTCAAACCGTCAAAATTGAATTTGTGTCAAATATCTTGAATTTACAATTTTAGCTATTTAGATAATTAGAGAAGCATTTGATCAATTTTTGTGTTAAACAACTATTTTTCGAATTTCTGAGATATGAAAATTAATTCACTAACTTCTTAAAAACATGAATTGAATGAAAACTCTTAGAAGAAATGTTCATATCACTTTCATTAATGGAGTACAAGGATGATTCCGAGTTCTTGGATGATATCCAGAAGTTCAAAACCCGATCCAAGGAAATCGTGAGAATGCAAATGCACTTAGCTTATCTTGATGAATCAGAGCCCGCAAGTGAAGATGAAAATCAAGCACCAGCTAATGCCGAAGAATTTAAAGTTGTCAGAAAGTTTAGCTTACAAAAATTCCTTGAGGCACACCCAATCTTAAATGTCAAAGACCTTTGTAACTTTTCTTTGGATCAACTCTTGTATTTAGTTGATGTTGTTCGCGAGCATGAGTTTTCATCCAGACGCGGTCGGAAAAACGGTTGTGATCCATTAGATGCGTTATTCCTAACATTAACTTACTATTGCACTTATCTTCCATTGCAAAAAATGTCAGGAATTGTTAGTTTGAAACAGAGTTACCTCAGCAAAATCATTAACAAAACAACAAACAGGATGTTCCCAATTTTCATTGCTGAATTCATTCCAAAACAATATTCTCCCTGTGACAAGGAGTTCGATAACTTTCCAACATGTGTTGCTGCAGTTGATAGCTCTACTATTCCTTTTACCGTTCCTCTTGATCTTGCTGAGCGTAAAAGTTCATGGGATGCTAAAAACCATTGCAATGGTATGAAGGTTCAAGTTCTTGTTAATCCTTTAGGACAGGTAATTCACATGAATACAAGTTTTTTAGCTTCAGTTCACGATAAGAAAGTATTTGATTTATCAGGAGCTTCAGATTTTTTACATGTCCAACGTGGAGTTGAATCTGTTGCATTAGGACTTCTTGCAGATAGAGGTTACATCGGTATTCAGAAATACCATCCAACAGCCGTCATTATGCAAAGAGGTGATGACGAAGAAGTTACAAAACGCAATAATGCGATTGCACATGATCGCCAAATTGTCGAACGCCGCTTTGCACGCGATAAAAGTAATTGGAGTGTCTTGGCAATAGGATATCGTGGTGAAAAAGGCAATCTTCCACTTATTGTTCAAGGATTGTTTGCTTTAGATAACTATCACATCGATTCCACACCTCTCAGTGAGAAGGATAACTGCGATTTTCCTTGCACTCCAAAAGATGAAAAAGAAGCTGCAGCAACACCAGAACCAAATGGTTCAGGAAGCCCAATGCCAAAGCCAAGATGTGTTCCAAAAGATCTTTATCTCCAAACTCCAGAAACTCCAATGAAGATTCCATCTCCACTAGCTGGATATGAAAAGATTGATAAGATACTTGTTAAAAGAACACAAAATGCAATCTACAACATCGAAACAAAAATGTCAATTCCAGGATTACATAATGAGGGAGCTACCTGCCATGTCAATGCCGTTTTGCAAGTTTTGTTCTACGTAAATACTTTCAGAAAAGATGTAATGGAGCATTTGGGAGATGTCGAATATACGCCAGTGAAAGCACTTGCCGAAATTTATGATCAGATGTTGCACTACCGCCACAAGGAATACACAATTTCATGCTCACAATTCATCACAACACTCGGCAAGCAATACTTCCAGCAGCAAGATGCCGATGACACATTTCAAAAGATTGTACATGATGTTACGGAATCAGCAAACAAACCAGATATTGCCGTTACATTCCAATATCAAACTGAGACTCCTGATGAAAGCTTCTATTCGGTTTCGCTTCACATTCCTCTTGGTGCAGCAGGTATTGATCAAGGAATTAAACAAATGTGCACAGATGATTCTCATATCAATGAAATCTCAACATTCCTCTGGGTCGACGTTCAGAGGAATTGGTCTGATCCAAATGTCTTCTTTGACAAATTTGAGATCAAGAAGAACTACAAAACTCAACTCAGTGATGGAACGTATGTATTTAAGATACATTCCATTATTGCTTATCATCAAGGTCATTTCGTTGCCTTCGTCAACAAAGGAAGAGTTTGGTTCATGCTCGACGATGAAATTACTTACATTGTTCCTGATGGTTTGATCAAAGGTCTTCAAGGTGGAGATGTTGGCAGCGATTTGTGGTCATATCTTGGTGGTGTCAAATGGCTTGCAAAATGTGTCATCTATCGCAAACACAAGTTCTATGGAGCTGGTGATGATGATGATTGAAAACAGTTTAATTTTTTTTAATCTTATTATAAGGGATAATTCTCTAAATATATGATTTTTTCTTAAGTTAGTGAATATTTTTCTTGTGTGCTTTTACTTATTTAAAGTATTTAGTATTATTACTTAAAAATTTTGAACATTTATTTTATAATATTGAGATTTAAAATAAACTATTGCTCGATCGTATCTTTATTTGCTCTTTTAATAAAAAATCTAACTTACTATTGATTAGATATTGATTTAAAAAAATAATATAATAGCATAATAAAATTTCTTTATTTCCCCGTACAAAGATATAGCCGTAACAAGACATTAACGTTTGGAAAGTAAATTTGAAAAAAAGTATTATATTATAAAAGAAGTTACAAATTTTTAGAATATTTTTGTAAAATAAGAGCAAAAAGTAGAATGCAAACTCTTCGGGTACTAAAACCTGCCATTAAATTGAGATAAATAATAGATTTTGTAAAATTTTGTTGTAATTCTTGTAATTCTTGTATCAGTCTTGCCTTGAGTATGAGTTTGAGTCTACCCTTGTTTCCATATTGCCTATTCCTGTTTTAACGCGGCTATTCCTATTCCAGTTTTTGGTGCTTTTCTATGATAACCAAATTGATTTGGTTATCATAGAAAAGAGACCATTATAATGCTTAAAATTAATTATGTTTAGGGCCGGTTTATTGGAATAAGGAAGTTTATAATACGTGAACACTTGTTTCCTCATCGAAAAGTCATAACGCATAAAGTCGATGTTTCCTTAGTACAAAAAGTGACATATGACGCTTAACTCTTTATTCCAGATAATGACCATATTTATGGGATTAAAAAGTTTTTTTAGGAAGCTTCTCCCCAATGACTAATATTGCCAAAGGAGAAGAGAAAATTTTATAAAATTTTATCATATTAAGGTATAAACTATTATTTCCTATATATTTATGAATCAAATAGTAAGATAATCACTCTTTGTTAGACTAAATTAAATGAAAAAAGTCTAAATTGTATGATCGTCTAAACTCAGTATAACCTATACCAAAGCTTATTAATGGCTTATGCAAATATACAGCTGATGTTAGCTTAGTTTTTGACCAAAATACAAAAAAAAATTATGAGTACAATATGATCAAAGTTTTATAAAAGCAGCCGAAAACAGCATTCAATTGGAATGGTATTATCAATGATAATCATTCAAGACACTTTTATCAAAAAATTTACATAAATCTTTTTCAAAACAGAGTATTTTTGCAAAAATTTCATCGAAAAGATAGCTTTGTCTAATAAAAATGATATGGTACGGAAAATCTATTGAAAATAATCTGAGGAATTTGAAATTCATTAAAAAGTCTTGAAAAAAAGTGAATGCATTCATGAATGTCCCATATCCATTTTATCCTAGTTGTTTCATAATTCCATATTGCCGATTCCTATTCAGTTTTTGGTGCTTTTCTATGATAACCAAATTGATTTGGTTATCATAGAAAAGAGACCATTATAATGCTTAAAATTAATTATGTTTAGGGCCGGTTTATTGGAATAAGGAAGTTTATAATACGTGAACACTTGTTTCCTCATCGAAAAGTCATAACGCATAAAGTCGATGTTTCCTTAGTACAAAAAGTGACATATGACGCTTAACTCTTTATTCCAGATAATGACCATATTTATGGGATTAAAAAGTTTAGGAAGCTTCTCCCCAATATAATTAATTTAATATTTGTCTTCAAGTTTCTTAGTTGAATCATCAAGCTTATCAATCAAGAACTTGACGTATTGGATGTACTCAGGTCTTGCCGGCTGTTGTTCTATGCCAGGCAAGTAGTTGTTGATGTCCTGAGTGATTTGTTGTGCTTCAGCGAAGTCTTGCTGTGAAGGACCAGTCTGAGGTTTCGGAGCAACTTCAAGACTGGAGTAGTCAACTCCTGGAACTTTCGGTGGCTCGGATGGAAGCCTTGCTGGCTGTCCTTTGAAAGGCGGGAGAGAGGCCGTCCTTATCTTCACAGAGTCAGCCAATTTCGAGAGGATTGGGACTTCGCCAGTGTGTAATTCCGGAGGAATTGCAAAAGCGGAGTTAAATTCTGCTTCACTTGAAATGCGCGGTAATTGCGATGACAAAGAAGTCTTCTGCTGAGAGCTAGAAAAGTCGAAAGCTTCATCGCTTCTTGTTCCCAACTCTAGTGGCAACTCCTGTGATGAACTATGCATCGAGTAACTGGAAGGAGGTGGAGGAGGAGCTGATGAATCTCTTCTTTGTTGGTAAGGAGTAGTATAGATAACTCTGTCATCAAGCTTTGGAATGATGGCATCCAAGTCTTCGTCGAAACCAATGTCTCTGTTGATGATTCTCAATACATCAGCAATGGAAGGAATTGGATGATCACTGAGTGTTTCAGGAGGAAGTAAATTGTTTCCTTTGATTCCGTATTTGTCGATGATTTCCTGATCTGTTTCTCCTTTGATTTGAACAGGCTGAACGAAGTTTCCTTCTGGAGACATAGGAATATCAGCCTGTGTTGACAACATGTCCGCAACAATCGCTTGTCCTTGGTAAGGATTGTTGATTTGGTGAGGAAGTTGAACAATTGGAGGAGCTTCGATTTTAGGAACTTCGACTGGGTTGAAATCGTAAGTTTGTCTTGGACCTTGTTGCATCTGTATAACAATTGGTGCTGCTGGTTTTGGAGCTTCTGGCTTTTCCTTTGGCTCTGGAGCACCGACTTGTAAGTTAGAAACAGGCTGTTTCATGACGATGTTGATCGGAGGAGGTCCTATCATCTTCGGAGGTTCTTCAACAGGTTTAGGTGGTTCTTCAACTGGTTTCGGAGGCTCTTCAATTGGTTTAGGAGATTGTGGAGGTGATTCCGGCATCTGAGGAATTTCTGGAATTGTCCTGACAGGAGATGGATTGACTGGTTCCTGTTCAACAAATGAATGCTTTGTTTCTTGTTGAGGAGGAGGATTCATTGCGAATGAAGGAAGAGGAGGCATCTGAGGGACTTGTGGAAGATCGTTGTCTATCATTTGCATCTGAGGAACTTGAGGAACAGGTTGTTGCTGCTGTGGTTTCGACTGCAAATCGACAGAGAACAAAGGCATTGGAGGCAAATTCTGCATTGGAATCGAATCCAGTTTGAATGTATCGTTTCCAGGAGACAAAGGCATCGAAGGAAGAGGTGGAGGTGTCGATCTGTCGTTTGCAGGTGTTGTTGGCAATGGTGGCGGAGGTGTTCTTGGCTCTGGTAATGTTGGCGTCGACACGTAATTCTTTGGAGGAGGTGTAGATTTCTGGATAATTGGAGATTGTTCTTGTTGCATTGCTGGAGGAGGAGTCAATATGTTTGGCATTGGCATGATGTTTCCAAATGCAACAGGAGCACTAGGAGCAGGTACTGGTTCTGGTGATTCGATCGCGAAATCAGGAAGTTTCGGCATCGGCATCACCAAATTGGCAGAAGAATTAAGTTTCTCTCCTGGAGCTAATGATTGCAAATGGAAAGCTTGATCTTGCTGTAACTGAGCCAAACTTGGACCAGCAGGAGCAGACTGTGTTGGCTTGAATGTGAGTGAATCAGTGTGTGAATTACTTGTTGGAGGTGGAGTCATTATCTTCACTCTTTCCTCATCATCTGAAGAGGATGACGATGAAGAAGATAATTCTTTGAATTTGGAAACTGTTTCTTGCTGTGGAGGAGGGAACATCATTGGCATTGTCTGGAAATTACCCATCATTGGAGGACCAGTTGGAAGAGGTGGAGGCATTCCCATGGAGCTCTGGAAGTGCGGCATCATTGGAGGCATCATAGGAGATGGTCCTGTTGGAAGAAGAGGAGGAGGAGCTCCTGCAAACATAGGAGGAAGTTGAGAAGCTGTTGGAATTGGTGTTGTTACTTCTACAACAATTTCGTCTGACTTTGGCTCTTCCTCTTGTTTCTTCTCAACAACAATTGGTGGAGGAGGTGGACTTGTTGATACTTTAGTTGTTTGCTCCTTTGGCTTTTCAAAGACTAGTGGCTTTTGTTTCTCCGATGATTTGACATCGTGTTCTTGAACTTTCTTCGGTGGTGTGAAGACAGGAGCTTCAATAGGAAGACTTGATCCCATCTTTACAGGAGGAGCGAAACTGAATGCCCTTGATGGAGGTGAAACTCCTTTCTTCGGTGCTTCAAAGATGTTCTTTATCTCGTACTTGTTGTCAGGAGCTTTCGGAGGATTGAATTTGCCTGGAGGAGTGAATGTCGGCATCTCAACTGGCTTCAATATCTCTTCAGAATCAGATGATGAACTCGAAGAAGAAGATGATGATGATGACTCAGAGACCTTGAATTTAAGTGGTGTAGAAGGATGTGGATTGCTAATCATGACTGGCGGTGGAGGAGGAGATTTCTCAATGACTGGCTGCAAAGGCATTGAGTGTTTCCTTGGAGGAGGACCTCTTGGAGGAGGTGGTTGATTGGCAGGTGGTGGCGGTGGGTGCTTCCTCTTATGTATTAGTGGTTGTGTCTGTATTTCAACAGGAACAGGCATTGGCAGCAACTCTTCCTGTTTCGGAATTTCTCTTACAGGAGTAAGAGGAGGTGGTGGAAGCATTTCCTTTGATAGTTCAGGAATAGGTGGTGGAGGAGGCATCTCTTTTGGTGGCTCGGGAAGAGGAGGAGGTAATGGCATCTGTAGTTGCTGAGATTTAGGAACTTCTGGAAGAGGAGGTGGCAAAGGCATTTGCATCTCTTGTGATTTTGGAAATTCAGGAAGAGGAGGAGAAAAAGGTGGTAAATCAGGTTGTTTTCTTGTTGGCATCTCCGGTTCTTTCATCTTCTCTTCGTCTTTGAGTGGAATGACAACTGGTTGTTCGTTTGTTGTTGGTAAAACAAATGGTTTCATCTCGAGGGAATCGACATCTTTAATTCCAACAGTTTCAAATGGAACATCTGATGTTTCAGTGATTTCGGAACTGGATTCATCATCACTTGGATCACTACTGGATGTGGATGACCTTTTATCGATCTTGCCAGGAGCAATTATTGTTGTCTTCCTCAATGGCTCCGATGTTGGTAATTTCTCTTCGAAATTAAATGTCGGTTTCTGGTCAAATTTCGGTTTAACTGGGTCAGGAGAGACAGGAAGTGGCGGAGGAGCGTAAGGTGGAGGTGTTGGAGGCATTGGAAGGTTCTGTTTGTTGTTCTCAGCCATGATTGGTGGTGGAAGATTGGCTGCTTCGATTTTTGGATAGTTTTTGACTACATAATTGTGGAGAGGAAAGCCAATTAAAGATGGAGGTTCGCTGCTTGGAATTTCCGGTGAGAAAGGTGGTTCATCTTGAAGTGGTGTTGATTCTGGAGCACTTTTCATGGCTAATGCAGGAATAATTGAAAGAGCTTGAGGTTTTGGAGAAGCTAATGGTGGATCCATTTCGGCTCTCTTATGGGACTTCCTGATTGTGATTTCTGAGTCGGTTTCGAATGGAATTTCCGGAATTGTTTCTTCTTCATCGTCATCTTGACCTGATTCTTCATTTCTCTTGATGTATTGGAGAATTATCTTCAAGAGAGAGCCTGATAGTTCATTGAATGGTGAGTCAGTGAGCTCTCTTGTCTGAATAACTTCCATTGTTGCGAAATCAAACAAAGCTGGAACGAAAAATGGTGATTCTGGAACTGTTACATCCTCAATCTTCGATGGCTTGAACTGTTTCTGCGATACTTCCAACTCCATCTCTTTGCATTGGTCAGCAAATTGAGTGGCCAAACTGGAACACATATCGCTGCAGTCAATTACGTCGTTTTCAGCACTCTTGTCGCCTAAATCGTATTTGCCGGAATAGTAAATGAACTCGGAGACACAAAAGATTGAATCCGCGTTCGCAATGTCCGGAGCCAAATACTGGAGCGTGAAAAGCATTGACTGGAACTCAAGAACCAAGCGAATGGCCGAATGGATGATTGGTTTGTGGGCTTGAATGCACTGATCCAAAACTTCGTAATGGGATTGAATTGTCCTGATGTTGGAGCTCAACATTAATGATGGTAACAACAATTCAATGGAAACGAAGAGGACATCCAAGCAACTTGCGTAATTAATCGCGGCTTGTGCGTTAGTTCCGATTGCTTGAGCGACCAAACCATCTGGGCAGCTATAGAGGGACTGGAATGCACTCAATGCTGATGAAATGGCGTTCTTCAAGTCAGATGCGTTATCAGGAGAGAAGCAAAGTACTCTTGAAGCTTGCCAGATAGCATCTTTGAGTGGCTTGGACTCAAACCCATTGGCAGCGCCGAACTTTGACATGGAAGAAGCAACTTGGAAGAGCATTGAACAGATTGCCATTCTGAAATTGTATCCATTCTGGATGTAGGAGGTGCAATATGTTTGTAATCTTAATGTATTCGTTCCTGTTGCACCGGATTTGTTTGCACCTTCCGTAGAAGATGAAATTGCGTAGAATAATGGAGTTAATTGTGCCCAAATGCTTGAAGAATGGACTAACGATGATACAGAGAAGTCCTTATCCTTCTTTAGAGCATTGATGGCCTCTTGAATGACCTTCAAGAAGCCAGGAAGAAGCTTTGTTCCAATTGGTTTCAGATCGTGAATCTCTCCAGCGGATTTTATGCCGTCGTATCCATTCTGTAGCTGGGTATTAAGAAGTCTGCCACTAAGTTCAAGGCAGAAAAGTGCAACGGCGATGTTATCTGGACATCCGTCGACGCTGATCGCAGAAAGGACAAGAGTAACGGCGGAAACAATTACGTTGTCTTGGAAGATCGGATCGAGTGGATTACTCTTAAATGCGGAAATTGCATTTGTAAATTTTTCATAATCGATTTCAAGCTTTGCTTTTGCGTAAAGAATGATAGGCTGGCCTTTCTGTGGAACGCTGTTGATCTTCTTGGTCAATTCGGCAATCAAATCATTGAATTGCTGCGAATAATTTTCGTTCATTCCGAGAGAAAAGTTTTTGTTCAAGAAATTGGAAGCAGTGTTAAGAACTGTGTAAACAAATGGCAATTCCGAGGAGTATTTGCACTTAAGATAGTCCAAATTCGATGTATTTGTGTTAGTAACTGAATTTTCTTGAGGAACGTGGTTTGTAGCTGCTGTATAATATGGCTCGTATGTTTCTGAGTCTTGGAGGAAGTTCCTCTTGCAGTTATCAAGGTGTTCGAGGATCAAAGATTCTTGACCACAATTTGACTTGATGTAAGCGGAAGAAAAGTTGGAGAAGAGCTTGATTGCAGTCAAGCCATTCTTGAGACCTGATTCTGCAACCTTTCCTGTAGCTGAAATGTTTAATAAAATGAGATTTAATTTTGCCACAGATTTAACTAATCTTGTAGCAATTGTCTTAAGGCGGATGACATGCTGTCTGTAGTTTTTCAGCTTTGAGCGAGATAAAATGATGCAATCGAGTGCAAAATGAGTGAAACTCTTAATTTGCTGAACTTGAAGTTTTCTGATGAATTCTTGCATTCCGCCAACAAACTGTGGCTTAATTGCACCACGTGTAAGACCAAGGTTCTTGTCTAAAAACTTGTTTAAGTCGGCAATCCAAGGTTCAATTTGAACTTTAAGAGATTTGATTGCGGAGTTGGTTTCTGTAGCTGGTTTGTTTGCTGAAAAGTTCTTTGATGCTTGGACAATTTGTTTCAAAACACGAGAAATTTTTGTTGATAAAGGCAAAATTTCAGCAAATCTTCCAATTTGTGTGCATGTCTGTGCCTCTTCATCACAGCATGTAGCAATGGAAGTGAATGGCGTAACGAGATGTTCGACTAATGCCGTAGTTTTGTTGAAATCAGAAACCTTTTTTCCAGTAACTTCGTCCATCATATCATCAATAGCGAACATAAATGTGGCGCTCAAAAATTGCATGTATTCGTACAAGAGTTCGACGATAGCTAAAGAAAATGTAAGTTTTGAAGCTAATTTTGGAACAACTGTTTGTTTAAGAGTTCCATTTGCGCAGGCATAAGCAACAAATGTAGTCTTAAGCAAATGGTTGATTTCAATCATGGATTGACGATCAACTCTTCCAGTATATGATAAATCTTTGCAAATTGACTGACTCATTGTTTCATATTTTATTGACATGTCAGGCTTGAAGTTTCCTTCACCTGGCTTTACTGTTGCAGTCAATAAATAATTGGAAAGTTCATCATTCGAATTCTTCATAAAAATTTGTTTAGAAGTGAAAAAAAAATTGATCATTTTATCCAAGCTTTGCCAAATCATTTTATTCCTAGATTATTTGGTTCATCATAGTCAATGATGAAGAAAGGAATCATAAAAAATAGGGATTCATAATTCGGAGGATTTTATCTCAATAATATAATCAAACTTTCACTATTCATCTTTAGAAAAATAGATAAAAAAGAATTCAGAAGTCCCAGTAGTATATTGGTTAGAATAGATCCTTGACACGGATCAGAGGCCAGTTCGATTCTGGCCTGGGACATTTTTTTCTTTTATTAATTTTTTTGGGCAAGTGCTAAAAATTCATCTAACATACGTCATAATCAACTTCGTCGGGACACGAATCATCGATATCTCCCTTGATGATAATTTCATAGATGTAGTTATTTTGAGAAGTCTTAGACATTTTTTGCATTTCAAATTAGAAAGGCATATTGTAAAATCAGCATTCTGTAACTAATACATTTTGATTTGTATTATGAATCAAATAAGTTTATAAAATGCCTTATTTTTTCATGTGCGATAATTCAATCTTTTAGTTTACAAATCAATTCAAATATTGACGATATTTGAGAGAGACGATAACGTCACTCATTTATTGATCCATTTCGTCTGCATCAGTTAACTAAACTCGGTTCAGCGACATCCATAAGTACTCCAGCTCCAATTTCTATTATTCGATAGATCATACATGACCAACTTATCTTCGAATTAATCGATTCACAAAAAATGATAATAGTTGAACATTGCAGCAATACGGAGAAGATTTTCGAATGGAAAGCAAACTTATATCAATTGATTTGATCCTTTTAAATGAAAGATTATAAGTTATCAATCTTTTCATAGAAAGGAATGCATTTTTTATGCAAATCGCTAATTTTCCAAAGTTTCAGTATAGCAAGTCCATTTTTCAGCAGAAAATGCAGAGAATAATATGAATTCGGAAAAATATCACAGGATCGTTAATTTAATTTCAAATTCTTTAATGTATATAAATAAGTACTGCCTAAATAAGGTTTGAAAACTGTTTAGAAAAAATTAAATTAATTCATTAAGAATAATGGCTCGTTAAGAAGCTCAGGAGTTGTAGATGCAATAGTAACAGTTTGTGCATATCTGCGGAGAGCAGTTGCAAGACGTTTCTTGCATTCTGTTGCAGTCATATCTGGATCGGCCTTAAGAGTCTTCATCAAGTTGTATGTAAACATACCTTGCTCGACTCTATCTGCAACAGTCTGCTTAGCTGTCTGCTTATCGTTAGCAGCAGAGACAGACATGATTCTATCTTGAAGCTTGCGGCCATTAACGTTTCCACTCTGAATATCCCAGATGGATCCTGAGTGGCAGCAGTCGGAGACGAAGACAACCTTTGAATCTGGATTCTTGCTTGCAGAGACAACTCCTTCTAATTCATCATCAACGATGTTTCTATCAACGAAAACGAGAGCCTCATCACTTCTATCAGCTTCATCGCCACTAGTATCAGTAACATTTGTACCGTGACCGACGTAATAGACGACAAGTTCAACAGAAACGTTCTTGAGGAAGAATTCAAGAAGGTCAAGGAATCCTTTTGACTTGATATCGAAAGTGTAGAATACTTGGAAGCCGTACCTCTTGAGGCACTTAGTCATGTTGTAGCCATCGTTCAATGGACCGTCGCCAAGAGAATAACGTGTTCCGAGGTAGCAGTTAATGCATACAAAACCAACGCGCTTCAAGTTAGTTGGGATTCTGCTTGTTGGAATGTTAGTAATTTCGGTTGCGTACTTCTTAATGTTCTTTTTTGCGCTCATTTATCTTGTGTTAAAATCTGAGCATTCAATATTTTCGCTTAGAGTTCTCAATTTTTAACGAATTATTCATAAAGTACATCGTAATTTCCTACTGAATTTAGTTCAAAGTGAAATGAAAACTGTTTTTGAGAAAACAAAGCCACTAACGGATTATTACTGTTCAATCGATGGTATCACTTGTCAACTTATTCCAACGAGTTTTCCGCCAAGATTTTTATATTTGAAATTTCGATCAATTTCAATACGGTATTTAAACAAAATGAAGTTTATTCTTCAATGGATTTTTTGGTGCTGATTCATATCTCTAATCAAAACTGGTCTTAAAGCAGTTTTGATAATTTTTTTTCAATTAAATGTAAAACTTCAATATTTTAGTGCAACTAAGATATCCTTAAACTAAAGATGCTAGCTGTTCTATTTTTATTGAAAATTATATTCAAAAAATATAAGCATTTAAAAAACTTTAAATCAGCGCGTGTAGTAGTGAGTTTTAAAAGAGTAGACTCTTTAATAAATAAATCACTTGATATATTTGATATTTCATGGAAATATCCTGAATATGATGTTTAGCAGCCGAGTTAGAATAATGCTCACACAATAAATGAAAGTCTAATAAAAATCATCTTTTCAAGTTGAACGTATGATCCAATAAAAAACCATCGGCCAATCCTTGATTTTTCAAATTTCATTTAATTCAATTAATTGAATATTATTCAATTTAATATTTGGTTTATCAAATGTACAAATGTTTTAAACCATTATAATTCATAGTAAAGTGATGTGACCAATCGTAGATGTCAGAATTGCAGCCTTTCAAATTTTCTAATAAAACTTCACTTTAACAAACAATGTGTGAAAAACTTCGTCTTGTTTTCCCACAATGGCAAGGTGGCGAAACCAATAATATTGCAAGCTATGTTACCGAGCTTGAACCAAAGGTTGCTGCTCAAGGTTACGTTATTGGTTCAGAATTACTTCAATGGCTTGCTCCAGTATCATCTGTTCCAATGGAAAAGGTTCCAGTATCTCTTGATGACTCACCTGAAGCTGTTGCTACAGAAAATGGAATCTTTGCCTATAAGATATTTTCGATATTAAAAAGCCAAAGAAAATTGTCACACTTGGTGGTGATTGCGCTGTAAGCGTCGCTCCATTTACATACCTTGCTTCACAATATCCAGATGATGTTGCAATTCTCTGGATTGATGCACATCCAGATCTTGGTGTTCCAGGAGATGATTACACTGGTTTCCACGCCATGGCTTTGGCTCAAACATTAGGTCTTGGCGATAAAGAAATCACAGCAATGTTACCAAAGACAGTCCCTGCAAACAATGCTCTCTTTGTTGGTTTGAGATATTTCGGAGAACCAGCTGAACAGTGCCGCAAAGATCTCAAGATTCCTTACATTTCATGTGAAGTTGCGAACAAAAGCTCACAGGAGATCTTAGACTGGATCAAACAGACAGGAAAGTCTAAAATCCTTATTCACTTCGACTTAGATGTTTTAGAACCAACTCAACTTAAAATTGCAGTTGGTTTTGATCCAGATGGTCTCCGTATTGAAGCTGTTACTCGTATTATCAGTGATGTTGCTAAGAACTATGATCTTGTCGGCCTTACTGTTGCTGAACCAATGCCACGTGAGGTTATCAAACTCCGTGCATTACTTCATAGCCTTCCAATCTTCTAAACATACTAGTTCTTCTAAATTACATTTTTTTCCATCATGAGCATTATACATTTAAAGAAAATAAAATAAAATTCATTATTTCTTCATTTCTTGATGTTGACATAATAGGATCAGATAATGTATAAAAAGGTGGGCTTTTAGTCTTCTTTATTTTGAATGAAATTATAGTTTTGAAAAAAATTGAAAATTTCGCTAGACGAATAATCTTTAAAATTTTCCGATGAATTTGTATATGACAATCTATCTATAATAAGAATATCATATTTATTTTCTCTGAATATAAGAAAGAGAATGTAAACTCGTTCTATCGTTTTGGTCGACCTTTCTCATGTCAGCATCTGGCAAGTTCGCACAGCGTAACTATACATACCGCGGCAAGACACTCGATGACCTCCGTGCTATGGAGCTCAAGGACTTTGTTGAACTTCTTCCAACAAAGCGCCGCCGTTTCATCTCCCGCTCATTCGATCTTAAGCACGTTCACCTTATTGAGAAGCTTAAGAAGGCTCGTCAGGCTGTTGAAGGCCAGGCTGGTGTTCGCCCACCAGTTGTCAAGACACACCTCCGCCATATGGTTATCCTTCCAGAATTCGTCGATAACGTTATCGGCATCTATGATGGCCATGTTTTCTTTGAGGTCCAAATCAAGCCAGAAATGATCGGCCACGTTCTCGCTGACTTCGCCCCATCCAAGAAGGTTGTTAAGCACTCCAAGGCTGGTGTCGGCGCTACACGCTCATCTTCTGCTACATCCCTCAAATAAACAATTTTCTTATTACATATTACAAAATAAAAATCTCGATTTTAAAAATTATTTGATATGACCACACATCGAAAAGTGAATTTTTTACGACTGAAATCTATTACATTTGAATTGTCTTGCTTGAAAACATCTATATTAGCATTTGCTTGAGTTTCTGGACTTACAAAAATTAATTCTATAAATATTCTAATTCAAACTACTCAGTTTAGAATGTGAGAAATATTTTTCTAGAAGAATTATATTGTTTGGAAAAGTAAATGCAATAATATAAACAATTTATATCAATAAAACAATAATAATGTCTATAATAAGGTAATTAATCAGAAGCTAAGGCTTGTGATATTTCTACAAGATCAAAGAAATCTGCTGCTTTATCTAATTGTGGTTTGTTAAGATCCCACATTGTAACTTTTGAAACTTCTTTAAAATCTTTGATGTGGCCATCTTCTATTTTGACTATCTTTTGAGTATATCCTTCTGGTAACTCTAATGGTTTACCACATAATTCTCTTCCTCTAAAGAAGCCAACTAAGTAGCCATTATCAAGCTTTTTGACTCGAGAATCAAAATATGCTTCAACATTTGCTTCATGGTCTGTTGGTAAACGGCCAGGAATCCATTCAACTTTCACACTCATTTTTGAGAAAAATTGACAAAAATAAGAATGAATCATATTTCACCGATTTCATTTAAAGAATAGTACATATTCTTTAATTCAAATAAATTTATCATATTTATATTCTGATTTGTTCATATAATGATATGTTTTCTATTCTATTTTTCACTTTCAACAGAATATTATGTCAAGTGGAAAGCAGACAATAGAACTATATGTCATTCTTTATGGCCCTGTGATTGGGATATTGCTGTATCTCGTTTTAAAAGAGATGATATTATTGTTATTACTGATAAGATCCTAAATACAACAGAACAACTTGAAAAATTCCGGAATGTGTCTACTTATGTACTCAATACTGGCGGAGGAGTCAGTGGAAATCCTACAATTATTGATGGCTCATTATATGAACCTTCAATTCAAGATTTTTATATAGAAATGTCTCCTTTTAACGAATCCTTATTCGTTGGACTTACTTTCATCAATTTTAAATATCCAATTATTTCTGTACAAGGAATGGAGTTAGTTTATTTCGTTAACTGTTCATTCAACAACAACCAAGTTTCATTTGATTTCCCTATGCTTACTTTTAACAATTGTACCGCAATTATCGCAAATGGCACGATAACTAAGAATATTGTAGAGGCAACATCACTTGTCGGACTTTCCACCGCTATTTTAGGCCTAATGAATATGACTGTTGAAGAAAACACTCAATTGTCTCGAGGTCCAATACCTTTATTTGATTTTACAAACGCAGCATCAGAAATTTCGCAAACTGTATTTAGAAACAATAGTTCTCCGAACTCTCCTTTATTTGGATCATGGTTTTTCATTATTGTTTACATCACAAAATCCAATTTTACAAATAATTTCTGTGGTTCATCAGCATTAATAGTTGGAGACTCTCTTGCAAATATAACAATTGAAGATTCGCTTATAACTAATAACTATGGAGCTCTAGTTCATTCAATGACGATGTCTTCTATAAATATCTCAAATTCCAAGGTGAAAGAGAACTTTGCATCAGAGTCAGCGCTTGTATTTGCACCAAGATCATCAATACAGTTCTTAAATCAAACAATTGTTGAGAATAATATAGCTGATTCAATTATTTCATCACAGTTAACAAATGAAACATCATTAGTACTGAATTCAACTATATTTGTTAATAATTCATGCTCTGACACTGCTTTTGCCCTTTATAATAGCAATTCTTGGGTTATTAACTCAACAGTTTCTTCTAACACTGTTGTTGGCCATCCGTTCATATCAATTCAGATCTCAAACTTTACAATTGACGGTTCTACATTCAATTCAAACTGGGCAACGAATGAAGGTTCAGTTGTGAAAATAGAAGACTGTAGCGTTAATGCAAACTCATCTCTGTTCTCTGAAAATAGTGGAAGATTGTCTGGAGCATTCGATATCGCAATACAAACTAATGAAACTTTGAAATTTGTATTTCAAAATTTGACATTTAATTCGAATGAAGGAAAAATAGTCAGTTCTGTCTATTTTAGTAATAAAATACCGGAATCGCGTTTTGAATACTGCAAATTCTCTAAAAATAGGTTTGATGAAGTCAATGGCCATTTAAACCTTCCTCAAACGTTCTTTAGATGCAGATTTAATACGCAGAACAACTCATATATATCTTTCCATATATCATCTACTGTTGAAAATCAACCAGATGAATTTGTTTTTATTATCTGTTTAATTTTTTATGTAGTATCTATTATATTGCTTTCTGCACTAATACTTATCCCTATGGATAAGTTTATTGCATCTCATTTATGATATATTTCTTTAGTTGCTGAAATTTATTTAGAAAACACATGATTGACAATGAAGTCTATCATGAGTATCTTTTATATTATCTTTGTTTGTATCTTTTTATAGAGTTAATGTTTTTTCTTGATATTATTTTGAACATTATCAAAATATCTGAAAATTCATTTTTTGTATAGTAAATATTATTTCTATCATGTTTAATTTTTAGCTCAGCTATTTACCCAACACAAAAATGATTGTAAAATCGAAATTTGAATTGAATTGAGCAAAACGTATAAATTAGAAAAGCAAGATTCACCTACGTGTTCATAAAATCTTGACTATAGTGATATACTGGGATAATTGCTAATAAAGACCGATGAATTTGAATTTTGAAACAATAATTTGCCTTATTTTCGTAGACATCAAGCATGAAAAATAAAATATTTCGATTAGAGATCATTGATTTGCTGAAATTTATATTGATTTTCTTAATCACTGCGGGTGACGATTATTTTTTTAGAAAAAAATTTTTTTGATGGCTCTTTTATCTTTATTCCTTTCATCTTCAAATAGTATTGATATGCCTAAATGGCCAAAGGCATACAAACTTCAAGGCACATGGAGCATTCCTTATCAGAAAATCGTAGAACCATTTACAGTTTACGTTGATAACGCTAAACAGCGTTGGGCAGAGATTGCATACAGCGGTGTTTCAAGAAATGTTTACTTTGTAAACGATAAAACCTACAATATGCAGCCAAAATTTGATCATATGACATGTATGTACAAGAAAGGACCAACAGAGGTCCTCCAATACTTACCAACTGATTACGAAAACTATCAATATGCAGGCGTAACTGTTGTTCTTGGCCGCAAATGCCATATGTGGGAAAAGAAGGTTGAAATGCCAGTAAATCAATGGTTCTATCGCGTGTATTGCGATTATGAGACATTAGAACCAGTTCGTCTTTGGAACCATGGCGCTTCGATTCGTGGATCTCATCCAGCCGATTATTACTTCGATGTTTTCGATTTCGGCCCAGTTGTTGACGAGGCACCATTTATAATTCCAACAGGCTGCGTTGGAGGCAACTCTTCTGGTCCAACTCTTCGTCAATCTAAAATGAATACAAATTACTGCCCAACGAAGCACATTGACTTCAAGGGCGATCTCCCAGAGTCATTCTCATGGCGTAACCTACCGAATGTTGTTGCTATGCCACGTGACCAAGCAAATTGTGGTTCATGCTGGGCCCAAGCCGCCGCAACATCAATTTCATCACAGATCTCTATGAGAACAAACAAGACAACAAAGGTTTCAGTACAGCAGATCGTTGATTGCACATGGAATGACCACAATTTCGCATGTTTCGATGGATTTACAGATGCAGCCTTCAGAGTAATGCAGCAGAAGCAGATGAAACTTGTTCTCGAGGATGACTACCCATACATCGGCCTCGGAGGCTATTGTCCAACAAATAATCACTCAATGAACGTAATTGTCAAAGATTGCTGGCAAGTCGAGCCAAAAGACGTCGAACAGCTCAAGCGCGCCCTTTATCTCTACGGCCCAGTCGCTGTTGCCATTGCAACTGACTCGAGTTTCGCCAAATATCAAGGACCAGGTGTTTTCCCAGGAAAATCGGCCACACTCGATGATCTTACACACGCTGTAACTCTCACAGGCTGGGGTGTCGCCAAGGATGGAACAAAGTACTGGGAAATCCAGAATTCTTGGTCAGATTTCTGGGGAATTGACGGCTATGGTCTCATCAACCAGGATTTCGACCACGACATCGGCATTACATTGGATGCCTTTGTTCCAGTCATAGAAGTAGTTTAAACTCATTTATTTTAAGTATATTTAAAAAAAAATTCAATTTTTAAGCAATGAATATTAATATTAATGGATTAAATTAATTAGCTTTATTCAATGAGAGACGTTGATTTTGATGAATGAATACAATTTAAGGATTGATTTAAAAGATTGTGCAAAATATAATAATCTTGATGCATTTTTAGTTTATTTAGATTTTGGCAAATACTTTGTTTATTCACTGATATTTAATATTCCATCCCTTTTCGAATACTTCCTTTCACACGGTGTAAGCATCAATGAAAAAAATGAAGATGGAGCTACAGCTCTTCATAATACAGCACAAAATAACAGCTTAGAAATAGCTGAACTTCTTATTTTGCATGGTGCAAATATTAATGAAAAAGATTATTATGGAGAAACTGCTCTTCTTATAGCCACATTTTATAACAGTAAAGAAATAACTGAACTTCTTATTTCACATGGTGCAAATATCAATGAAAAAGATGGAAAAGGATCTACCGCTCTTCATTATACAGCACAAAATAACAGCTTAGAAACAGCTGAACTTCTTATTTTACATGGTGCCAATATCAATGAAAAAGATGAAATGGTTGTACTGCTCTCTATTTTGCAGCAGAAAATAATTGTAAAGAAGCAGCTGAAATTCTTATTTCACATGGTGCAAATCTCAATGAAAGAGATAAAAAAGGGCAAACCCCTCTTCATCTTGCAGCATGTAATAATAGAAAAGAAACAGTTGAACTTCTTATTTCACATGGTGCAAAAGTTCCTACATAAGACGCTTTCTTTTCATATTAAAGAGTGATTTAAATGAAATCAATACATTGTTCCATACTTGATTTCATTTAAATAGATCCATCCATGAATATGTTGTTTGTAGTCAATTTATGATCTTTATTATGTTCAAAAAAAGAAATTCACGTTATTTAAATTCTATTTTTTTATAATTACAAACAACAAACATTGATATAAATATATTTTCTATAATTCATTGTCAAATGAATCCTTTTGCTATGATTTATGGTTTGACCATAACGGCTGAACTTTGGCAGCTATTGTAACTTCTTCTGCAACTTCAACATTTGAAAACCCGGAATATCCATTATTAATCAACTTCTTAACGACTAAAATAACAGAGATAATAGCAAGAGCAACAAAAGCAATATATATAGTTGTGTCTTATTTAATGTGCTTGATTCAATTGTTGAATTTGAATTTGATTCATTTTCTTCAACATTATTTATACTAATTGATGAAGCTGTTGTTGCATCTGGAGTTTGATAGGGATTAATGATTGAACCAGATGCAAAAGAAACTCCATTTGGAAGTCGATTCATAATATTCTTTGTGATGGATACTTTTCTTGTGAATGAAATCGAATTAAAAGAGTATTTCGTTGGCAGTATATTTGATATCTCTTCTTTTATTTGCTTCTTCGCAAAAGTAAATACTGTATCAGCCTGATCTGTATTTCCTGGACAAATATTTCCAGCGCCATTGTAGATATTACTGAGTTTAATAACAGGAGATATTGCTTGTGAACCAGAAAAAGCAATATACAACCCATTATCTTTGTAATTTGGAATCACATCATCAATTGATTCAAATTTTGCATTGCCTTGAATATAAATTGCGTTTCCTGTAACTTTGCGCTTATTTGATGCTGTATTTCTGGCATTATTATATGAGTAGCAGTTTCCTTGTGAATAAAAATAACCTTTTTCTTTTTGAAGATTTGCATTATTTGGTGATATGAAACCAATAGCACCACCACCTCTTATTCCATCTAGTACTTGATCATCTACAAAAGGAAGCATCAGAGTAAATGAATTAGAGATGTTAGGATCATATAAAGGAGCAAATGTAAGATTATTGTATGCTAACAAGGAGTTTATCACTTTCAAAAAGTCAACATTACTAGAAAATATGCCTGCACCACTATATGCTGCTGTGTTATTCATGATTTGGCATTGATCAAAATAAATTTCCAAAGTTGAGGAAAAGAATAAGGCTCCGCCACATTCTGATCCAATATTATTGCTAAGTATGCACTTATTTGCTATGAATTGTACTGGATAACCTTTGTATTCCTCTTCTGGGATAATTCCGGAGTAATATACAGCGCCTCCATATTTATAAGCTACATTTGAATCTAACATGCAGATAGTAAGAAATACTGATGATCCAAATGAGAAAATAGCACCACCATTCGTCGCTTGATTGTGAGAAAACTTAATTGGCTTTTCATTTCCAAATGTATGAAGCATGCATGAAGTAATAAAAATAGATCCACCTATAGAAGATTCAATTGTTTCTCCTAGTGCAAAATTTTTCGTAAATTCTACTCCAGATCTAATAGTTATTGTGGAATAGTAGAAGTTTAATCTTGCTTGTTTTGTTAACTCATAGTTTTTACTTGTAATTTCTATTGAAATATCGTGGTTTTCTTCTTCTTCACTGATATCAGTTTCATACTGAAGAGATTTGAAGGCCGGCTCTTTCTCCAATATCACATTTGTTTGCTTTTTGTTCTTCATTGTATCAAATATTGTGGAGCTCGCTGCTACGTTGAGATAGAAAAGAAACATTTAAATTGAGATAAAATTTGTTTTATCTCAAAAAATTGAAATTGAGAACCTTATTGAAAACCTGGTCAAAGGTTTCTCGTCAAAACATTTGGGAAATGTATTGGTAATCTTAATGTAAAAATGTGTGGTTTCATTCTCATTGAATTTGGGAAATTTTACATTCCATTGAAAAACACCATAGTTATCGTAAATCGGGATATTATTTATATCTGAATAATAGTTCATACCAGCATTAAATGTTGATATTTCTTGTTTTAATTGATTTCAGAGTAATTTATAACTCTCTTTTCCAAATTTGGTATTTCACTCTTATTCTTTACCTTTTCTGTAAGTCATTTCAGGCAATAATATGATTGTTATTGAAGCAATGGTTGTTAACAATGAATTTTATCATAAAAGGTTCAAAAAAATGATTCACAAAGTAATGATTAATGGTTTTCGACAAATAAGGGTAATGCCATGATATTACATCACGATAATCTATGCATTGATTGTATAGAAATCTCAAATACAATATTTTTATTTCAGATTTTCATGATTCTCAATATTGTATTCTATCAGTTTTGTGCTAGGCGCATACTACAGAAATATATTTATATCCTCTTATTCATATAATTCAACAAATTGTGCAATACCCTCAATTTTTAACTTTTGCAACTCCAAAAACCAGGTGTTTTTCCAGAACTACCATCTAGGATGAGTCCTAGGAGCTATAATTCTAGGGTTAGATGATACCCACTTAGTACTTTTATTTGTATATGTTTTAATGGAATTTGGTGAGGGGTCATGAAATTCGTATCTAATTTGCTATCATCTAAGCTGGTAAAAGTTAGAGAAAGCTATTTACTGGTTGTATATTACAAATATACCTTGTAATAGAAAATATAAGTGTTTGTGATTTAAATTCGCTCAATTAGCTCGAAAATTTGTTTTATATCCATGACAAACTAACACAATCCTATTTATGTGATTTCCAATCTGTTCCCAAAATATATCAGCATGAATATATATATATTGATATTATTTGCAATTTCATCATTAAATAGTACTTTTTTTCTATTTTTAATTTAGAAATAGTATATTTATATGATAGCGACACAATATTTTAATTAAAAAATATATGTTATCGATCATCACACTCAAATTGAATTTCAAAAATTTTAGAATTTTTCAATTTCAATATTGAAAATATATTTCTTATATCATAGCGATTCATGTTATAATAATATGGAGAAAAATATTGTTTTAAATCTAAAATTTAAAATGAATGATTGGGCATTACATTATTCCAATTTATTGTTTATTTGTTAATCTAGTGGAAACAATTAATATTTTGGAGAAACAAAAATTTGAAATTTGAAATTTTGAAAAAAATGCATGAATCGGTAATTAAACATTGATTTATTAATTTATTAGCCATGTCTTTGATGTTGGTCTTATTCATAAGCCGATTTAAAGAATTAATTTTTCCAAATCGTGTTTGACATTAACACATATATATATATCAGGAAAAAAGGTATCACTTATCAAGTTATTGGTTTTTATGTATCTCCTAACTTTGCCTCGTTCTGAATACAATTCTAGTTAACGAATTTTAAATAACTATATGAAGAATACATCATTTTGGTTTTATTATTATTAAAATGATATATATTAGCTATGTATATGCTTGTAAGAATATTATTCCGTGAATTGGAAACAGAAAAAATAAATTTAGACAGAAAATGCATATCTTTAAAAAATAATATGAAATTTAGCTTTGATATTATTATCCGATAAAATATGCATGATAATTACTCCGCAAATAAAATTTAGGAAGCAAGTTGTGACGGTTGGGCGGTTTTCAATGGCTCACAAGGAAGGAAGTATCGTTTTATCAGGCAACAAGAGGTCTTGAAATGAGTAAAGGACTGATCACCCTTGAAAGGTTCAAACTTGCTTGCGCGCCGCAGTCTTAAAAATGATATGTTTCACTTCTGGTCGAAAATTTCAACCTCTATGACAGTTGTTGGATGAACAATTGTGTAGCGGGATGAAATCTGAGTGCGGCCTGGGGCTGCAGCATCTTTACCGCAATCATCTCTTAGATTGCACACAAAGTTGCGAACGAGCAGCTTTCTATGCGGTAAAGATGCCGGTAAAAGAGAGCCGTAGTGATTCTCTGCTGCAGCGTCAATCTTCCCGGCATCTTTACCGCAATCATCTCTTAGATTGCACACAAAGTTGCGAACGAGCAGCTTTCTATGCGGTAAAGATGCCGGAAAGAGAGAGTCGATGTGAGGTTCTTTTCGAGGTCTCGAAATGAGAAAGTTCCGCATTCATAACTTGAATGCGGAAGTTTGACCGACAAGAGTGTATTGTGCACTCTTGTCGGTCGCAGTGTCTCATTCTGGGAGACATTGCCTCTGCATGTCTCCCAGAATGATAGAAAGTTCCGCATTCATAACTTGAATGTGGAACTTTGACCGACAAGAGTGCACAATACACTCTTGTCGGTCGCAGTGTCTCATTCTGGGAGACATTGCCTCTGCATGTATCCCAGAATGGAACAATCTTTTGCAATCAGAATGTGATTGCAAAACTTTGACCGACAAGAGTGTATTGTGCATCCACATTTGTCAATTAACTATGTTTTATAGAGACATCCCCTCACACATATTTTTTCTAATATAATTTTACCTTTTTAATATTTATTTTTTATTTTTTGTGCTTTATATAACTTATGGTGTGTACCGAACTATCTTACAGACTCTACTGAGCTATTTACACATATAAACATGTGACAATAACGCATACATACTCCCTTCGTATTCTGATCTCATGACATATTATCGCAAAAACTATATTTATACAACACACCTCATAAAGTCTCATTTTAGCCCTATCTAAGCGTTCAAAACCTATTTTTCCCGCGTAATCTGATTCTTCAGGCTCCGCTGATTCGATTTCTGCTGTCAGATCGTGAAAATATGCATCACATAACAAGATAAACCCAAATTACTTAACTTAATATTTTCCTTAAAATTTCGCTTCACGTTCATGCTCAAACAAAATCATTTTTGAAAAATCCAAATTTTTCAAAAAATGTATGAATTCAAAAGTTTTGATCATATCGAGTCATTACCCAATATTAATATTGTATTTTAGTTTTTGAGTTATTCATTTTATTATACGTATTATTCAGAAAATTAAATATATTTGTGAGGGAAACGGAAGATATATAAATATCCCATAGCGAGGAATAGGAAATTTTAAGGAAAATATTAAGTTAAGTAATTTGGGTTTATCTTGTTATGTGATGCATATTTTCACGATCTGACAGCAGAAATCGAATCAGCGGAGCCTGAAGAATCAGATTACGCGGGAAAATAGGTTTTGAACGCTTAGATAGGGCTAAAATGAGACTTTATGAGGTGTGTTGTATAAATATAGTTTTTGCGATAATATGTCATGAGATCAGAATACGAAGGGAGTATGTATGCGTTATTGTCACATGTTTATATGTGTAAATAGCTCAGTAGAGTCTGTAAGATAGTTCGGTACACACCATAAGTTATATAAAGCACAAAAAATAAAAAATAAATATTAAAAAGGTAAAATTATATTAGAAAAAATATGTGTGAGGGGATGTCTCTATAAAACATAGTTAATTGACAAATGTGGATGCACAATACACTCTTGTCGGTCAAAGTTTTGCAATCACATTCTGATTGCAAAAGATTGTTCCATTCTGGGATACATGCAGAGGCAATGTCTCCCAGAATGAGACACTGCGACCGACAAGAGTGTACACTCTTGTCGGTCAAAGTTCCACATTCAAGTTATGAATGCGGAACTTGTCTATCATTCTGGAGACATGCAGAGGCAATGTCTCCCAGAATGAGACACTGCGACCGACAAGAGTGCACAATACACTCTTGTCGGTCAAAGTTTTGCAATCACATTCTGATTGCAAAAGATTGTTCCATTCTGGGATACATGCAGAGGCAATATCTCCCAGAATGACATCTTCATGCCAAAAGCAATATATTTCTTATTTAAATTTGCATAAACTCCAATTTTTTTTCAATCTTAATTAAATTTTTTTCTACTTCTTTAATTCGTTTCATCTTTCTCATAGAATATCTATTCCTTTTACAGACATGAAATCACTAATCAGGCTTTTTCAATACTCATATATTTCATATAAATCATTGTTATTTTTTCTCTCATCGCATATTTTATTAAATTTACATATTTCCTCTCACATATCCCTCTTCACATATATTGAATCTCCACACTCATCTATTAGAACAATATATTTTCGCTTAATCTCATATTATTCATTAACAATCTTTCCTATTCTTATTTCTAGTTAATATACCAATATATATATATAGAATATATGCCGAATTACATATTCAGATATATTAAATTCAAGAAATTCTTCTAAAATTATTCTCCTATTCATAATAAAATCATATTTAGTCTCACATCACAATTCTCTCAGTTCTCCAATATCATGTCATATTGGTAACATCACATATATCTCTTATAATATCACTTTAATTTGTATTTTTTTATTTTAATTATATTTAATTAGTTCTACATTCTATTATTATAGAGGTTTGACAAATTCATCAATAGTTAAAATCGAAATCTATGCAGATCTTTGAATCTAATGAAAATTACATTTCGATATCTTTTTGCAAGCTTAATTTTTTGTATTATCTTAAAATACATTTAGTAATGTTATGTACATATTGAATTCAAATTATGACGCAGTATTATTCAACTCATCTTGAGATTCACATTTCATTTTCACAATTATTGCATATATACATCAATAACATATTGTACTCATATAGCTACACGACTCTAAACTCAATGACATCAAATAATGCTTCTAATATTTAAAAATATTTTTGCATTTTTGATTCTCAGCTTAACTTCTATAAATGTCACCAAAACATTTCATTCCTACCAAAAAATAATATATTAGTAATTAAGCGTTTATTATCATTGTTACTCACATCATATTAATTCATTTTTGTAATTTTTTAAATAAATGACTGGAATCATAAACCCTATGTACCCATATCAACATGTTAAAATTTCAAAGTCTGAAACTTAGTATACATTGAGTTTCATGAAATCAGATAATCTCGTAGATTTCTTAAATATTATATATTGCTGGCCAATAATGATGCAGCATGATTCTCCATCATATCAGCATTCTAAACATATCTTTATTTTGTCAATTGGCATAAATTAAGGGTGCTTTTAAGGCGATAAATGGTATTTTAGATACCTGGGTAGGGTCATGAAAAAGTTGCAAAAGTCAAAAATTGAGGGTATAAATAACTTGACTTCATCTGTTAGCAATTGATATCTCATCTCTATTGGACTTCTTCATATAAATCAAGTTACTTCACAAATAACTATTTGGAAATTCTGAGCCATTGTTGTTCTGTTGCTTCAGAGAATAGCTATTGCTATGCCAAAAGTATTTTAAGCCACTTTACATATGGTTGGTCATGTGTCTTTGCTATTTACGCAAATTGTTCAAAGCCGAATTGTAAAAAAATTTTTTTTTTCAACAAATGTTTTCAAAAGCGGAAATCGAGAATATTGTTGAGCATTTGAAGCCAATTCCAATTGAGCAATGGGGAAGTCATGAATGGCTCAAACAAATGATCGGAATTGAAAAAATTAACGTTCAAGCACATGTAGAAGCATCATCCAACAAGTTCGAGTCCGTTGTCGATTGCATCAAGACACACGACAAGTTTGAAGTTCTTGTGCACGAGCTTATTGCAACAGATATGTGTCTTAACAACATGTTTTCCAAATTTAAATCCAAATTACCACAGCAAGCCTTCGCCAGAGTATTTGTTGTTGAAAGATCACTTAGTACACTTCTTACTCTTCTTGGTTTTGTTGTTTTCAAACCAGAAAGTCTCTCATCAGAAGGTTTACTACCATTAATCGATTTCTGTGCAGCAAAGCTTGCACAACTTACAAAGATGGATGTTGGTGACATCGATCCTACCAAGGAACAAGATCCACTTCTTCCAAAATTCCAAATTTGTTTTGGAGCTCTTTCAATCATTTGGTGTATTGCCTGTGCAACGCCAGATCCAGGTTTTCCGATCTCTGTTACTAAGCGCCTTGTCAATGAAGATGATTTAATACCGACACTTTGCGAGCTTGTCATCAAACAACCATGGAGAACAATTCGCAAAGGAAAAGTTCTCAAATGGGGCGATAATGCATTGATTGAACTGGAAAAGAAGGATGCCCTGAGAGTTTGCAAACCAGAAGCTCACGCATGGACAGCAATTCAACAACTTCTTGAGCCAAGATGCCTAGAATTGACAAATTGGAATGATTCAAGGAGAGAATCACTTTTACACGTTGAAGGAATGCTTTCTGAAGTGTTAATTGACCAGTTACCTCCATTGCAATCACTTAAGAGAGCTCTACAGTACTTAAGAGTCAATATTCCTCCGCCTCCAAAGTTCCAAGCAATTATTGAACAGATTCCTCCAATGAAGGAAGAGTTTGACAGAAACTGGGACTGGAATTCACTTTCTGATAAATGTTTCAACAAATACTTCAAGACTTCTCCACAACAGGCTCAAGCTGAGCTTCAGATGATATCTGACTACTTATCAATCTTCGCTAATTTAGAAGGGCAATAAATTAAATTCTATTTTGTGTTTATAAATATAAAGATTATTTTATAAAATGCTTTCATTTCTATTATAAGAATTATTCATCTTATGAGTTCTACTCATTGTTGATATTCCTCTTTAGAATGAATTGCAATATATTTTTGGCAAATATCGCCTCTATGACATGATTTTCAGTTCTGGCCTTTAAGACTGCACTTACACCCATCTGACTTTAATTCAAATTTTTGACAACTGGCGTGAGGCGTAAGTGCACTCTTAAGGATGTACTTACTACTTTCTGACATGCTTGAATTATATCAATATATCTTTATTGTAATTGCAAAAAAAGTATAACAGTAATATAAGGTATTATGAAGTGATTTATAATGACTTTTTCCCAAACAATCAAAAAAATTAATTAATTAGATAAAAAGCTAGAGTGTCAAAAAATTAAAAGCATGTCAGAAAACGGAAAGTGTACCATTAAGATTATATTAATTACATTGTTTGAATTTGACAATTGATGGTAAATTTAAAATAAAAAGTGATAATAATAAAAAAAAAATAAGATGAGCGATATTAAATTTGTTGTTGATTCACAGTATTGTAAAAATTCATCTTTAGTTAAATATGGAAGTGATTTTTGTTTCGTTATCAATGGTCATCGATTTTATACAGCACAATCACATGCAGTCGTTTTAAGTGAAACATTTCGAAACATCTTGATTACAGATAACAGTGCACAAGAGATTAATATTGATATTAACATTAATAATATCAATCCAATTGCAAATAAAGAATCATTTAAGAAAGCATTAAATATTTTTTCGAAGTTTGTTCAAGATGGGTATGTTTCAGAAAACATCGACATCAACACAAGCGAAATAATATATGACCTCGGTGTTTTTCTCAAGATCGACGATTTTATTTCACAATACAAATTTATAATTTCATCAACAGATATCAGTGAATCAAACATCGAATCATTCATCCGATACAGTCTTAAAACTGGTGATTTCAAGAAAACATGTTCATTCATTGCATCTCATATCTCTTCTATTGGCCCTTCTAAGCTTTGTCTTCTTTTTGAATCCGTTTATCATTCAATTGTATTATCGCATTTTAACGAAAACATCGATGATATTTTTATTGATTTTATTTCGTGTATTTTGAGTGATGAACATGTTTTTGTCTACAGCGAAGATGATATTTGTGATTTTGTCATTTCATTCAACAAAACATTTTCACCTTTATTACCAATTTCAGAAACATCAAAATTGGACAAACTGATTGAATTCATCAGATTTGAATTCTGCACTAACGAAAGAATTTCTCGATTTATCAACTTTTATTCTTCATTTATCAACTCTTTTGATAAAGAAATCAAAACAGGAAATAAATCAGTTGACAATATTCAAAAAGAAAATGAAATCTTCACTCATTTATTTGAGACATTTATGTTATCATCAAATGATAGTAAAGAAACCAAACAATTTGATAAAATTGCATCAACAGATGAAAATAAAAAAATATTGAAAATGTATTGGACTTCAAAAAATTTCTTCGATCTTTATGATACATTTGAAAAATGTAGTCAAGAACGAGATCTTTATTCGATCAAATTTGCTGTTGATAATGGAATCAGAGTATGTCCTCACGCAATTGTGGAATAATTCATTATGCAGCAAAATATAATAATTTATCACTTGTTCAAGATCTTATTTCATGTGGTGTCGACCCTAATATGAGAAATATTTGTCAAGACACACCGCTCATTATTGCTTGTTATAATAATTCAATTGATGTTGTCAAATTCCTTATAACATTAGATGGAATTGATATTAATGCCCAAGATTATTATGGAAATACTCCTCTTCATGAAGCATGCAGATGCAATTATCGAGATATTGTTGAGATTCTCATAGGATTTAGAGGTATTAATATCAACATAAGAAATGTTCAAGGTGATATTCCTATTAACATGACTAGAGATAAAAGAATTAATAATCTACTGACAGCCCCCGAAAAAAGTGTCGAAGACAGGAAAATAAAGGAAGTAAAAAATTGAAAAGAGGAAGTAAAAATTGAAAGGATCACTGCCTTATTGCACAACTTTTAATATATTCTCATAAAAGTCCAAGAGTATTATAATACTATAAAAAAAATGAAATGAAACACTATGGCCATCCACCGCAATAAAAACTTTCTTTTTCGATATCCACAAATCTAAAATCATTATCTATATATAACAAAAAACATGTGCATCTTGATCAAGACTATAATGCTCATAATTTCAAAGATTAAACTTGAAATCATATTCTTCGCGTCTGTCTCTCAAAATTTGAGGTAATTGAAAGGTTTACACATGAAGAATATGATTTCAAAGATTACAATTCTTTTTCTTTATTGTATATATGTTATGAAATAAAAAAAAAAAATCATAAAAACAATACAATTTATTTATATATAGTATTATGGATAAGAATTTGGTCCTCCGTAGCCAAAACCAAAGGATCCATACCCGTCTGATCTTTGTCCGAATGCTGTTATGGTTGTATCTGCTTCAGAACCAAATCCATTTCCATCTCTTGGATTATAAACCTTTTTTGCAGTAATTGACTGACCATCGCTCTTTGTGACGTGTACAGCCATTGCTGATAGCCAATCAGGTGGTACTTGTGCGCTATTTTTGATGACTTCTACGAGATCTGAAGCTAAAAATCTGTTTTCATCGGTAAAGAATGTAATTGCAACTCCTGTCTTCTCGCCTCTTGCTGTACGGCCAATTCTATGTACGTAATCCTCAATATCGCCTGGAAAATCGTAATTTAAAACTAAATCAATATCTGTAACGTCCAAACCACGAGCTGCAACATCTGTAGCGACCAAAACACCTCCTGTTCTTGCATTCTTGAATTTATCAAGTGCTACAACTCTTTCTTGTTGAGTTTTGTCGCCATGAATTGATAAGCATCGAATTGATTTTGATTTTAAGAAATCTGAGAGCTGTTGAACAGTTCTCTTTGTTTTAGCAAATATAATGATCTTCTTCGACTGGTTTTCTTTTAATATTTCAACACATTTTTCTCCTTTTTCGTGTTCTTGCAAAAGAAGAACGTTTTGTTGGATTCTTTCATTAGTTGCCAACTCTTCTCCTCCAACATGCATATGTATTGGGTTAGAAAGAAAGTCTGAGGCTAATTGTCGAATTTCTTTCGGCCAAGTTGCAGAAAACATGAATGTTTCACGGTCTTTTGTCAATGAGGCGATAATTGCACGTATTTGTGGCTCAAATCCCATATCAAGCATGCGATCTGCTTCATCCAAAACTAAAAAATTCGCTCTGTTAGGATTAAACACTCCGCTTTGTAAGAAATCGATTAATCTACCAGGAGTAGCTGTTACTATCTCTGGATGGAAGCGTAATTTGTTGATTTGTCTGTGTCTATCTTCTCCTCCGTAAATGCAAACGTGTTTATAGCCCATTTTGACGCAAAACTGTGCAGCAACCTCATCTGTTTGTAATGCCAACTCTCTTGTTGGACTTAATACTAATACAATTGGACCATCATTTTCTGAAATTTTTCTTTGAGCAGATATATGCATTAAAGCAGGTATTAAAAACGATGCTGTCTTTCCTGATCCTGTTTTCGCTATTCCTACCATATCATTGCCTTTTAATCCGATTGGAATTGATAAAGATTGAATTGGTGTTGGATTTGTCCAATTATTCTCTTTAATAACTTCCATTATTTCTTGTGGTAAATTCAATTCTTCGAATGTTACAGCAACAGGAGGAATGTTTTCACCAAGTAATTTTATTTGATTCTTTTCTAGGTATTTCTTTTGTTCTTCTTCTGTTAGTGTCGGTGTAAAAGTGAGATTTAGGCGTGTTGTTTTCTCATATTCCACGTTTAAATTAATAGATTTTAATAATTCTTCGTTTTTTGCTAAACTATCCGAACTCTTTGATTTTTTATGTCTTTTCGAGCTCTTTGATGATCTTCTTTTTCCATTTTCTCCATTAAATCTGTTCATTTATAAATAAGAATTTCAAAATCTGTCACTTTTTATAAAAATTTCAAAATGCTGCTGCTGAAAGTGAAAAACTAATATTTATAATTAGCTTTAATCTTAAAAATATCTAAGTATGTTATTTATCAAACAAATCTTTTAAAATATCAAACAAACAAAAAAATATATAAAATATTAAAGTCTATAATCACTAAAGTTGACGTTTTCTGCACCCCAATACCTTCTTGGGAACCTTGAAATGTAAGTCAGTCTTCCTTTAGCAAGCTCAATCCTTAATTCTTCGTCCCAAGGATCAACGTGTTGAGTAAGATTCGAAACTTTGTCATGTTCTATATGAATGCCTCCAGAAAAATGCTGTAGAAGGATTGGCCCAGCCAAGGCAGCTCTATCAAAGGCAAGTAAAGCGTCAATATTATAAGTAAATCTAGATTCAGCGTATCCATGGATCATATTCCATGCATCTCTATGCATACCTTGGAAATCTCCGCATGCATCAATGAAAAGCTCAACATCAAAGTTTGATTCTTCACCAGGATGGACAAAAAGCTGCTTAACATCTGTATTTTGTCTGTAAAGATCAAAAATTGTATTCAAATCCGGTGGAGAAGAAATTCTTGTTGTTCTTATGTAACTTATTTCAGTAAAAGCCCGAATTCTAATGGCTTCGAAGAATCCATAAGGCAGAATAACATCAGCACTTCCACATGTGATGTATGTTCCTTTTGCTCGCCTTATTCCAATATTTCTCATTTGATATTCAGGAAAACCAACAGTTTCGAACTTAATTCCTAGGTCATACCAATATGAAAGAGGTACTTCGATAACTCTAATGAATTTTTTCAAATTTTTTGGAATTGTTATTTGATCTGACAATTTTTGATTAGATCTAGTACAATAAACTATCAGAAACTCAAATGGAATATCAGGAAATTCAGATAAAATGCTATCAAGAGCATAACATGTTAAATTAAAGCGTTTCATGATTGATTCGTCCTCAGAGAGCGTAGTTACATGGGTAAGATAAGGTTCTTTGTTATCACTAAGTGTGTCTTCATGAAAATAATACATTTCTTTGACTTTTTCTTGAAGATTTATGTCAACTGATTTCATTGTTCTGTAATTTCGAATGTAATTAAGGATGTTATCTTTCTTATAAATGGTACTTGATATGGGAATGCTCTTTTCTGATTTTGCAAAGTTATTATATTGAATTTGTTTAATTATTTCATTTGCAATATCTTTTGCGCTGTAATATTCGTCAAAATTTTGCATTTTATACAATTCTGGTGGTTCAAGCGATAAAATTTCTGAGTTTGGGAAATCTTGAAAAATATTGTGTGAAGACCCAAATAATGGCTTATCTATTATAAGATTTTTGTAGTTACCTTCCATTTTTGGATTTTGAGATACCGTAATGTAATTGATTTTGTTGTGTTCGCAATAATTGATAAATTCTTTTTCTCTATCAGGTGGTAGGTGTTCAAGATTGATAATAGTACTGAACATAACTGACCGTAGGTACCGAATGATTGAGAAGTTTTGGAGGTTGAAATGCGTGTAATCTCGGATTTCTCCAAAATTTATGTTCGATTTTTTGAGTAAATTGCATATTTCGATGCCAAGCATGGTTTTTGAGCCTATTACTAAGTAATGCGGCTTCTCTGCTTCGTCAGGATCAATGAAAAACATACATGATAATAAATTCATATGATAATCATATGTATACATATCATCAATGTCGTGACCAAAGAAATCGTGTGTGTAATGTATGCATTTAGAGTTAGATTGTACTTTTTCTTTATCTATATCAAAAATCAAATATTTTTCACTTGGAAGCAGTATTGCAGATACAACAGCAATACAAGGGAATACCATTAATATGTAAAAGCAGTTAAATCGGATTGTTCGGCCATATCTTGATATACTTAACATGATTAATCCGATTACTTGTCACTTTTCCCAGTAATTTTTATATTTCTCTCTTAAAATTATTAAAAATCAATTAATTCATGTTCTGAGATAAATATGTCTTTTATTTTTTAATCCTAACTTTCTCAATTTTTGAATGATTTTATGAATGCTCACGGAAAGAAAATAAAAAGCTGTTCGAGTCTATCCAAATGACACTATTCATGTTGGATATATCCTATCTAAAAATATTAATGGAATGTGGGGATGAGAGTTTCTTGAAACTAGGTGATATAAAAAAATATGAAAAAAAAGAGATTAAGTAATATAAAATTATTGGTAGACACACATTTTACCATGTTGGCTCAGCGTGTTTCTTCTTCTTCTCAACTGTCCATTCGAACTTACGAAGACGGCCAAGGCAATACATTGTGGCCTTCTTGCAAGACTGGCAGGTGAAACGAAGAGAAATCTTCTTGGATGTCTTCTTGGAACGACGAAGAATTGGTTTAACACGACCACCGAAACCCTTTTGTTTACGATCGTAGCGGCGACGACCAAGGGCGGAGTGGCGTTCCTCACCACGGGAGGCCTGAGAAACCTTGCACATTGTGTGCTTCTTGCAGAACTTGCAGAAGAATTTCTTTGTCTTTGGGTGGTGAACCATCTGTTGAAAAGGAAGACCAAACGCGATAATCGTCTTCCCCACAAATTTATAAGACCATGTATTAAGATAAATATGATATAAGCTATGTTTGTGTATTCTGTTTTTGTTTACAAATTTGAGGACAAAGCATGAAATACAATTTTCGAATAATAAAAATTGCTATTCAGGCTTTCTTGTTGCAAAAACAAACTATAATAGTATAATACAATAAGATTTCTTGGTAATGAAATTGTATATTTCAATATTTCATCAGGAAATTGTCTTCTGCCCTAAATTAAGCTAACTTCTGATGGCGCCCATTCTCTGATTCAGCTAGCTGTTAAAAACATGATGATAAAATGAATTTATGAAGATAATCTTGGTTCACAAATTTCTTAAAAAATGTTGTGTCGTATAGGAAAAGATAATTCATTTATTGATGACAAAGATATTTCTGGTTTTTATTCAATCCTAACAAAATAGACGGCAAAATAATATTCGTCTTTTTCAATAGAATCAATAGAAAGACCACAATTATTGAATCTGCCAAAGAGAACTTTGTTATGGTCATTTGCAAGCATTTCAACGACTTTCTTTGCTAAATCTTTTTTATCTTGGCAATGGAATGAAAAAGCGCAACCGTCAACAAGTTTTGCATTTGGAATAATAGCTGAAAGTGCTTCTTTATGATTATGGGAGAATTCAAAAATTGTTCGTTCTTGTCTCATTGTATCAATTGCATTGCATGCGAAGGTATAAATTGTTTTATTGAACAGTACTTCGTCTTTTACTTTATGGGCAGCTCTAGCATTGCAAATTGAGTTGTAGATTACGTAATCGAGACTTCCTCTTTTATCTGTTGTAGCTACGATGACAAGAGCGAAGAATTGTTCGTTCTTGGTATGTTTAACGGCTATATAATAGCTCGTTTTTAATGATAAATTAATATTTGAGATAAACTGATCGACTTGAGGGATCAAAGTATCATGAGAGTAATGTCCATGGAAAATTTCATATTCGATGTACTGTGGGAATAGTTCGTCAATCACTTTTTGCTCATCATATTTCGAGTGAAGAAATTCTTCAACTAATTCATCAAGAGAGCCTTGTATATTGTCAATAAATTCAAGTTTTCCTGATTTGTTAATTAATTTGGATATTTCATCAACAACTGCAGCTGGATAAACACGAACTGGGGAAGGTGATGGTTTCCAGGATGTCAACGTGATAGGTTCCTTTGTTGGAGTGAAGCTTTTATTTTCCTTATGTTGTTGCTTATGAGAAGGTGTCTTAGAACCATCTTCTGGCTTTGGTAAAATTTCTGGTTTACGTGGAGTATTTGATGTAGAGTTTGGATTGAGCTTAGATGGTGAACCACGATTAACTTTCTTTGAAAAAGCGAATTTTTTAGGTTCAAACTCCAAGAATTTTTTATTAGCCTTGGATTCCGAGCGAGCATACATATTTGTGGAAGAAGGAGTAGAATTAGATGGTGGATAGGTAGTGAAAAGGAATAAATCTGAACGTTGGATATAAACTGCAGTACCTCTAGCTGAAGAAGTAACTAATTGAAGAAAATCTTCGTTCTGGAATAAAGTTTTGATAAGATCATGAATGTCATTAAAGTTAACATTTGCAATGTGGAAGAATTGGCCGTCCAAGTGATCTACGTAATCAATCAAATCGCTAATCTTTTGTTTGAAAGGAATTTTTTCACTTAACTTATTTTCCAAAAATGATTGGATATTTGTTTCGGTGTCAAGCAAACGTAAATGAAGAACTTCTCTGAATTTATTGCAAATGTCAAGAATTGTATCACAATCAATTAATATGTCTTCAGAAAATGAATTATATGTTGTGGCATATGCCTCTTGCATAAGTTCATCGTTAATCTGAGCAAGAAGAATCGCGTATGCAGCTCCACCATTTTTACGGAGCAAAATAGATACACCACCGTATCTATAGAGTGGGCTAACTAAATAAGAGTTGTATTTTGAATTTGAATTAAGATCGTCCTTAATCTTCTGTAAGACGTTATCTTGTTTTGCATCAGCTATTACATTTCTGATGACAATAAGCTTTTCGGCAAATGGGAAATGTGTAATAATACGATTTTCATTAGTTTCATAGCCATCATCAAAATTAATAGCTATGAAACGTGCATTTTGTGCCAATTTTCTCCCTATAATTAACTGACCTGCATTTTTACGAATGCCATTGATGTAATTGATCAATTCTCTTTCGTATTTATTGATATCAATACAGGTTGTTTTGTTCATTGTTTATTTTTATCGTTTATTCTTTTCCAAGTGAGCTGTTATTTTATTCCCTATTACATTAGGATAAAAATCAATACCATTAAACGGTGTTTTAAATTACAATCAAATTAAGGGTTCCGACCGACCACCTATCTCCTCTCAATTTTCATCAACTTCATAGCATCTTGTAGGCTCACATGATAGATATCTTTCTTTGCTACCATACACAATATGATAGTAATCCTTCATATAAAGATATACATATATGGTAGGTGAATCTCAAAGCCACCATATTGCCTTAAAGAAAGCATTTTTTTGCCTCATTTTTTCATTTTTCCATATTAAAAGTACTTGGTAAAATGCCTCGAGTTGCACCTAAAAAATTCGATTTTTTCGACTCTACGGAAATGAAATCAGGACAAAGTGTATAAAATAATTGCAATTAAACTCTGCTTCAAAAATCAAATAACTACGAGATATTGAATTTGATTACATTAAAATATGCTTTTCTAGCAAATACAAATAAATGTTATGCATCTAAACCTAATGAAGTATATCGCTGTTGAATGAACATCCACATTTTACTTGCCCCTATACAAAAATAATGAAAATAAGAATGAGATAACTAGCTCATTTCCAATTAAGCCTGCCATAATATCCAACTCAATAATGTTTAGCATATTTCGTTTCTAGACATAATACTCTACATCACAATTGTGATAATAAAAATATATCTATAGTGTGATTACGTCAGGAGCCATTGCAAGTAGCATATTTCAATCCAAAATGCAATAAAAGGATTTTCTTCGCACTAAAATCCATCATTTATTTGGAAAAGTATAAAAAAAAATTAGATCTTGCTTTGACAAAATTACAGCTTGGAATATGAACATAAGGTGTTGATTAAAGCTATAATATTACTGGTTTCATAATGATGATAAACGTACAATTTTTTGATTAAATTTCAAAATTTCTATCTAAAAACACCAAAGCAAGAAGGTTTCCATATAATCCATTACTCACTAAACAAGCAAGATATCCCAGTTTGGAAGCAATTTAATCAATAATTCCATTTATTGATACTTTTTATTTGATTTCAATTAACTCTCTCGCAAACAATAGATTTTTACTCCGTATTCTCCCTTAAAAACCTAATGGTATTTCTTTAACAAGTTACTAAAATAGTTTCAAAACATTTTTAGCATGAATTATGAATTATCACATAAAGTTATTAAATATTACCACTCTGGCTCTACAAACATTTCTATTTCGGCACCACAAAGACTACTTTGCTAGCATCAAGTACAATCTTTTGAATTTGAAGACCTGAAAATCTTATTTTTGCTTTGTGAAAAAATGATAAATAGATTCATAATCTCTGATAATTAATAATACTGTTTATAATAAAATTATAAGCTAATTCGTTCTTTAGTCTGCCTACTTCTTTGTCACGTTTCACTTCATTCTGACACGTAAATTCGACCAATTTTACATGTCAAAATTTTTTATTTTCGAATTTGGCATCAATATATGCATATATATAGGTCATAGATTATCCCATTAAAATCTTAAAAACATCGGTTGAATATTCATGATTTTTCTCACTCAAAAGGAGAGGGTGAAAAAAATCGAAAAAATTCGAAAAAAGGAGGGTTGAAAGGGGATCATCGATAAAGACTTCACTTAGAGATATTTTTAAATACCATATATTATAAGGAGGAATGATGTGCCGGGGATTCGGATTGAAACCTCGTATTCGCCAAGATAAGACCTTCTAAAGTTGAAAATTTTGAGAGGAGATAGGTGGTCGGTCGGAACCCTTAAAAAACTTTCTTTATTGTTGATGGAAGTCAAACATGGATATGGAATGATTTCAGAAGGATGTAATCTTATATACATTGCGTACATCGATTTTAGTACATGTGAACTCTAATTATTAATACTAAGTCTCAAAATCAAAATAAAATTCGGTATTTTATATGTTTACCCAAAGATTGATAAGAAAAATAGTTTACCTAACAATATTTAAATTGTTTAAATATTCTATAAATAACAAATATAATACAAAATAAAATTATAATAATAAAAGAACTTGAGCTATTGATGCCTGCTGTGGGGTTAAATCAGGCTTTGTCGTAAAAGCAGGTACCTCTAGTCCACTTGCCTTAATTCTTGTCAGATAATCAATATAAATCCATGAATTCTTTTGAGCCCAATTCTGAAGGACAACATCATACTCTTTCTTATATTTACGAGCCATAATAAGTCCTAGATCTGTTTGTGGCTCGGAAATCGAAAGAAACTTGATTGTTTGTTGATTTATTTTTATTCCTTGAATCCAAGCAATTGTAGCAATTCTACAGTATAAAGTACTGTTTGACAACCTTGCCAAAGTGTAATCGTTATCACGTTCGAGATCTTGAATGAATTTTTTGTTTTCTTCATGCGTAAAGCCAAAGAATTCGCCATAGTACAAAACTTTACTAGTCATAGTAACTTGTGGTACTGAAAATATTATGTGAGCAAGTTTTGCACCAGCTAATTGAGATGCTTCTTTCATTAACTGGATATTTGCTTTAACTCCATGGAAAGAGCCGTAAATAATGAGTGCTAATGGTCTTGCAAAGTCAATTTGAGCAATTGGGGAATTAAAAATGGCCATGTAAAACCTTATTATCGTATAAATTGGATGGCTTGACATTTCGAACTGATTTTCGCAATACTCATTAGTAAGAACTGCAAGTCTACGCTTTTGGAAAACAATAGGCGCGATTTCTTTGAAAAGAGAATGATATCCAAAATCATCATTCGAAAAGTCTAACATGGCTGTAGAAAACAGTGAATCTAGCCATTCGTTAAACTTTGCTGTATCATGAATATAGATATCTGCCTTTTCTTTTGGAGTCAAATTTTGTTCCACGGATTCAGGAAGAGGCCCAACTTGAGATATCTTAGGAACTCTAGAAAGAGCAATTTTGAGTAATTCTTGAAACTCTCCGATTTCAGAAAAAGGTTCAATTTCTTTAACTAAAATTCTAAGCTCTTCTTGATTCATTGTGAGTATTTTTTGCTTGAATTCAATAAGCTGTTGTCTCAAAATATCAGAAAATACATCTGTTGTTGAACGATTTAGAGTACCCATGAGATTATAAAATGGTCCGAGATCATTTTTATCGATATACTCGAAAGATGATAGTTTGCTAATGAACTCTAAAGGTTCTGCAGCTTCTGTAAGATCTGTTTGTAACTTTGCCTTTCCACCTTCCTTGAGATAAGGCAAATAATTTTCCATGATACTAAAATCTAGTCACTTTTTAAAAATCATATTTTGGTAATTTTTAGGGTAATTTCATAATAGAATTCAAAATTAATGTGAGCAATGACATATGTAAGCCCTAAATAATTAATCCATACTGTAGAAATTTGATTTCTAATAAAATGAGTTTCCAAAAAAATTTCAAAAAATTAAAAATAACTCAAAAAATTGTAAATTTTATGATCATTTTGGAGAATTTGGAAAAAATTTGGAAAATAAGAACTCCCTAAAATAAGTTCTATTTCAGAATTTGAATAAAATTTTGAATTTATCTCGCTTTGTTGAAAAATTATTATAACTATTAGAGATAATAGACAAAACAGCCAAGGAATATAATTTTTTACATCATAGATATGGCATTTTTAGCTTCAACTGAGAGTCTGGACGAAATGTTTCTCATAGAATACAAAAATTATTGCATAAAGTTTAACGACATTGTTATACATGATATCTAGAGCCATAAAATCAGATAGAAACACAGTTTTGCTATCAGGATTTGATTGCAATAAAAGGTGACATTTTAAAATCTCTTCTTTATTTTGCATTTTTTTAGATGTCTGCGAGTGGAAAAATGAAGAAGAGCATCGAGAAAATAAGGAATAGAATCAAGAAGCTTAATAATCAGCTCACTATCGAGACTGAAAAAGTAAATCTTGGTGAAGAAGCCGTCGAACAGCTTGGGCAACAAGTTAGAGAAATTAAAAATCAAAACGGAGTATTACAATCCGATTATGATGCGAAAGTAAAAGAATACGAAGATAACAGAAAAATCGAACAATCTAAAAATGATAAAATTTTAGCAGATAAAAATCTCGAATTATATCATCTTAGGCAATTAATTGAAGAATACAATAGAAAGGCTGAGGAAGAAGCCATTTTATTGGATAAAGAACAAAAAGAGATTGAAGTAGCTTGTTCTCAATATGAAATTGATATTAAGCGTGCTAGAGCTGAACTTCAAAAGCTCCAAAGCGATTTACGAAAATATGAATGCCCAACAGAAACAACAACAAATTTTGTTATGAAAAAGTTATTCACGCAAATTCAACAACGTGAAAAGAAAGAAAAACTATCAAGGCAAATAGAAACCCTTACAAATCTTAGAAATAATTTAGATATGGAAATACAAAATCTTGAAAAACAATTAGGAGCTTTACCACCTGACCCAATAGCACCAGATCAACCTCCTAATTCTACCGTGAAATAGTAAACAACTACTTATTGTTGATATTTTACATAATTTTTTAAGATCCATATTTTTTTTGACTATAAACTATAATGTAAATTGGTTGAATGTATAAAAATATGAGGAAATCCAAATTAATTAACATTTTTCATAAATAGGTTTTTTATTACAAACAAATCATTCTAAAAGAGATCATCAATTTCTATATCATGGTGAACTTCAGGTTTTTCAGAGTTGAGAAGCGAAAGCATATTTTGGTAATCTTTATATCTGAGATGTAAAACACATTTCTTTCTTCCTTTGCCATCAATATCCTTCATATCAGATCCAGCGGCTTTTGCAACAATTTCATGGTTCTCAATGTCAACGCAAACACGACCATCTCTAACAAGATGGGCAAGCTCGAAAGCTTTTTGTATCATTGCATCAAACCCTTCCTCTGTACTTATTGTATCAGCAAGAGGTCGAGCTCCGCTGTTACTGATTTCTTTGAAAAATTTTCTGCCTCTTTCTGTTAAAGAATGTGCCTTTTCATTTGTTTTCTTGTATCCTACTTTAATTTCATCAGCAGTAACTTCATCTCTTACCTGCGATTGAGTGGCTCTTTTTTGTCGTGGTTTTACGTGAAAATCATCAAGTCCGTATAGCATTGGTATGTTCATTCTTGGGGCAATAAGGGAAGATCGAATAAAAATATCCCCAAGCTGAGCTAAATCAAATTGTTTTTCTTTGCGCGTTGGATATTTTGCACATAAATTACGATGTACAGATGCAAGATTAAATGCAGAATCTGACAATGTGACTTGATTGCCTTGTTCAACAGCAATACGTGTAACTCGATTTATAGATTTTAGATCTTTTTCAAATACAGATGGTTTTTTAACAAGGGATTGCATTTTATCCATTTGTATAAGGATCTCGCTAAGATTTCTTGGGGTTGCATTAGTGATAAGATCTTTTTCGTTCTCAATTATTTGCTGATTGATATCATCGTATTTCTTTATAACATCCTTTGGCTCAAGGTTACTTGCAAAATCTTTTGAAGGAAGGTATGATTTTCTTTGTGATTGGGAATTTTGAGATTCTTGACTCATTCCCAACAAAGAAAAATGAAATTTCTTGCAATTAAATATTAATATTCTCAAGAGCCAAATATAATAAATGATAACTTAAATTTCATCAAACTCAAAGAATTTTTCCAAATTTTCTGAACTTCGTTTTATTTCCACTGGAAGGTTAATTAACATTTCAAACTCGAAATTATAGGCATTTCGCTCATTTATAGGAATTTTTATGAAAGTATTGGAGAAAATTGAAGCAATTTACGTAATAAAAAACAAAAAACGTTAATTATTTAATAACTAGTAAAATTAACAAATAAGAAAACATAATATTCAACATCTAGGCTAAAGAGCAGGCTTTCGAAATTGCAAGATTTTGGCCTATCCAGATTCCAATGAAAATCTTCTCGCCTTCCTTGATCTCATAATCACCAACTGTGAAGATTCCATAGAGAGGCTCGCTGTTGTGCATTAACAAGATTCTCTCTGCCTGGATTCCAATGTGCTTGGTGATCATAGCGATAAGCTTCTCAATTGTCCAGTCTGGAGAGACTGTGAGGGGGATTGCGTATCCCCCTGGGAGGACCGCATGGATTGCCATTCAGATTCAAGAAAAATGAATTGTTGGCAGAGTCTGAGAAAATTTCTTTTGGTACAAAATTTTCATTCAATTTTTCTTGATTTGGAAACTCACAATTTTTGTCTAAATTACAAAAATCAAAATTCTAGTTTCATACACTATTTTGATGATATTTTATCAAACCAGATCCTGTTTGAATTTTTCGGTTTTCAATTCAAAATTTAAATTCCATGAATTCAACAAACAGAGTAGCTGAATTATAAAATTTTGAGTAAAATCCTTTACCAGACCTTTCATTAAAATTTTTTACAAAGAAATCTTGTATTTTATCATTAATTTAAGCTTTTACGAAATATATTCCAAAAATTTGATTGAATTCAGGAGTCATAAAGTCTTCCACAAATAATAACAATAGGAATTTGAGTTAAAAATCATATAAAACATTAATATTTAGCACAAAAAAATTAGATAATTAAAACAAAATTCAAATTCGCATTTTCAGTCAAAAGCCTCCGTAAGCATCAAAGCCGTCTTGGTTGATCTCGATCTACTACGTGGCCTGAACGTATATTTCTTCTTCTCTTCGGCAGGAGGTGTAGATATTGGCAATTTTTGAAAACCTATTGATCTAGGTATCTCATCTGGTGGCGGAGTTGAATCCTTTAATTTATTGATTCCGTTCGTTGAGGCTGAGCCTTGTATTTGTTTTAGCCTATTGCAAGTATCAGATCTTGCACGCCCGTGTATTGGTTTGAATGTCTGTGAGCGAGGTATTCTTTGGAGCTTTTCGATATAATCATTTCGACATAAAATACGATAAATAGCTGTACTCTCATTGAATACCTTTAAAGTAATATTTTGGCGAATGTTATCTATTGAAATTCCCATCTGTTCCATTTTAGGTATAACAGAAAGGTTAATATCGAAATCTTTCCATTGTTCAGTAATTATCATCGTATATGTGTATTCTCGAGGTGAAAACCATGGATGTGTTGAAATATCATCGCAGGAAATGCGTTCGTTTGGGTTCTTTGTCATCATACGGTTCAATAAATCTTGTAATGATTGAGTCATCGTTGGAGGGTAAATAGGATTTGAGAAGAGAATTTTGTTCATGGTACCTTGGGAGTCGGTATCCTTAAATGGGAGTTTACCCACGGCCATCAAGTAAAGTAATACACCTAGCGACCAAATATCGGAGCCGAGCTTGTAAGGTTCATTTTTGAATATTTCAGGAGCCATATAATCTGTGTGTTAGTAACTTATAAAAATTGTTTTTGGTTCCACATTAATAGAAAAATTTTGAGATTTTCTATTAATAGTGATAACCAATAAAAGAAACATACATTGAGATCCGCATCTAGTAAAAAATTCTGTATTTTCATCAACAAAAGTAGTGCTCAATCCGAAATCTATTATTCGGATATTATAATTTTGATCTAGTAGAACATTTTCGGCTTTCAAATCTCGATGAGAAATCTTAACAACTTTATGGAGGTAGTATAAAACCGAGTAAATTTGAGCGAATATCCTTCCCATCATACCTTCTGGTATTGGTCCTTTTTCTTGTATGTAATCGTCAAGGTTTCCATTAGGAAGATATTCCATAACTAAATAATGATAATTTTCATCTTCCAAGGTTTGATATAATTGAACTATGAAAGGATGATCCATTTGTTTCATCAATTCGACTTCTCTTATAAACCGCATTTGTTTTTTGTCATTTTGTATCAGCTCTTTTGGAATAGCTTTAATTGCAACAAATAATTTTGAAGGAATATGCTGAGCTTTCCAGACCGAAGCCATTCCTCCTCGCCCTATTCGTTCTATAAATTGATAATTACCAATATTCTGTGGCTGAGAATTTTCATCCAACAAAAGACTCATTCGCTTGTTGAATAAAAATTTTTTATGAGAAAATTTCTGAACGATTTGTTATGAAAATTTATTGCATTCTAGCATAAAATTGAAATAATATGAAAGATTATCTTTTCTTTAATGATACTAAAATCTATAGTTTACAAATTCAGTCAAATCAATTTTCTATGAGATATTAAAATACTCAGATAAAGAAATATATTTAAAAACGCGTAATAAATGAAATTAAAAATAACCTTTTAATTTTTACATGGGATGTAATCCAATTTATGTTCGCATTACAAGCAACAATATGAAATGGGGAGAAGCTTCCTAAACTTTTTAATCCCATAAATATGGTCATTATCTGGAATAAAGAGTTAAGCGTCATATGTCACTTTTTGTACTAAGGAAACATCGACTTTATGCGTTATGACTTTTCGATGAGGAAACAAGTGTTCACGTATTATAAACTTCCTTATCCCAATAAACCGGCCCTAAACATAATTAATTTTAAGCATTATAATGGTCTCTTTTCTATGATAACCAAATCAATTTGGTTATCATAGAAAAGCACCAAAAACTAGAATAGGAATCGGCAATATGGAATTATGAAACAACTAGGATAAAATGGATATGGGACATTCATGAATGCATTCACTTTTTTCAAGACTTTTGAATGAATTTCAAATTCCTCAGATTATTTTCAATAGATTTTCCGTACCATATCATTTTTATTAGACAAAGCTATCTTTTCGATGAAATTTTTGCAAAATACTCTGTTTTGAAAAAGATTTATGTAAATTTTTTGATAAAAGTGTCTTGAATGATTATCATTGATAATACCATTCCAATTGAATGCTGTTTTCGGCTGCTTTTATAAAAATTTGATCATATTGTACTCATAATTTTTTTTTGTATTTTGGTCAAAAACTAAGCTAACATCAGCTGTATATTTGCATAAGCCATTAATAAGCTTTGGTATAGGTTATACTGAGTTTAGACGATCATACAATTTAGACTTTTTTCATTTAATTTAGTCTAACAAAGAGTGATTATCTTACTATTTGATTCATAAATATATAGGAAATAATAGTTTTATACCTTAATATGATAAAATTTTATAAAATTTTCCCTTCTCCTTTGGCAATATTAGTCATTAATAGATATATTTAACATGATGGTTCTAAATATATGAATAGATAAAATTTTCCTTTCAATTTTACGAACCAAATTTATTACCATATCCTAAATTTTTTCTATGTTTATAGACCTTTGGAACTTTGTATGAAGTCTAAATATACATGTAGAGTATTCAAACAAAACAAATATCAAAAGCTAAACCTTTGAATTACCTTCAATGCTTAACCGAATTACTAGATCTTATATATATGTGTACTAATACCTTTTGATGCATAAAAAACTCCAAAAGAGTTTCATTTTTAAAATAGTCGATATCAATTCAAAAAATTGAAACTATACCGTCAACTGTCAATTTTTCAATAGTTCGTTTTTTTAAATGTAATTGCTTTTTTTATATGCATTAATCATTTGATAGTAGTGGGATCAAATTACATATCTTAAAAATGTATTCCGAGTGGAAAAAAAATCAATAGAATTGACCACAGATATCTGTTTAATCCAAAAATATTATTAGAATCATATTTAATAAAAATGCTATGCTTTTAGAAATAAACGGAAGAATAAACGCACTGTTTCAAACCGTCAAAATTGAATTTGTGTCAAATATCTTGAATTTACAATTTTAGCTATTTAGATAATTAGAGAAGCATTTGATCAATTTTTGTGTTAAACAACTATTTTTCGAATTTCTGAGATATGAAAATTAATTCACTAACTTCTTAAAAACATGAATTGAATGAAAACTCTTAGAAGAAATGTTCATATCACTTTCATTAATGGAGTACAAGGATGATTCCGAGTTCTTGGATGATATCCAGAAGTCCAAAACCCGATCCAAGGAAATCGTGAGAATGCAAATGCACTTAGCTTATCTTGATGAATCAGAGCCCGCAAGTGAAGATGAAAATCAAGCACCAGCTAATGCCGAAGAATTTAAAGTTGTCAGAAAGTTTAGCTTACAAAAATTCCTTGAGGCACACCCAATCTTAAATGTCAAAGACCTTTGTAACTTTTCTTTGGATCAACTCTTGTATTTAGTTGATGTTGTTCGCGAGCATGAGTTTTCATCCAGACGCGGTCGGAAAAACGGTTGTGATCCATTAGATGCGTTATTCCTAACATTAACTTACTATTGCACTTATCTTCCATTGCAAAAAATGTCAGGAATTGTTAGTTTGAAACAGAGTTACCTCAGCAAAATCATTAACAAAACAACAAACAGGATGTTCCCAATTTTCATTGCTGAATTCATTCCAAAACAATATTCTCCCTGTGACAAGGAGTTCGATAACTTTCCAACATGTGTTGCTGCAGTTGATAGCTCTACTATTCCTTTTACCGTTCCTCTTGATCTTGCTGAGCGTAAAAGTTCATGGGATGCTAAAAACCATTGCAATGGTATGAAGGTTCAAGTTCTTGTTAATCCTTTAGGACAGGTAATTCACATGAATACAAGTTTTTTAGCTTCAGTTCACGATAAGAAAGTATTTGATTTATCAGGAGCTTCAGATTTTTTACATGTCCAACGTGGAGTTGAATCTGTTGCATTAGGACTTCTTGCAGATAGAGGTTACATCGGTATTCAGAAATACCATCCAACAGCCGTCATTATGCAAAGAGGTGATGACGAAGAAGTTACAAAACGCAATAATGCGATTGCACATGATCGCCAAATTGTCGAACGCCGCTTTGCACGCGATAAAAGTAATTGGAGTGTCTTGGCAATAGGATATCGTGGTGAAAAAGGCAATCTTCCACTTATTGTTCAAGGATTGTTTGCTTTAGATAACTATCACATCGATTCCACACCTCTCAGTGAGAAGGATAACTGCGATTTTCCTTGCACTCCAAAAGATGAAAAAGAAGCTGCAGCAACACCAGAACCAAATGGTTCAGGAAGCCCAATGCCAAAGCCAAGATGTGTTCCAAAAGATCTTTATCTCCAAACTCCAGAAACTCCAATGAAGATTCCATCTCCACTAGCTGGATATGAAAAGATTGATAAGATACTTGTTAAAAGAACACAAAATGCAATCTACAACATCGAAACAAAAATGTCAATTCCAGGATTACATAATGAGGGAGCTACCTGCCATGTCAATGCCGTTTTGCAAGTTTTGTTCTACGTAAATACTTTCAGAAAAGATGTAATGGAGCATTTGGGAGATGTCGAATATACGCCAGTGAAAGCACTTGCCGAAATTTATGATCAGATGTTGCACTACCGCCACAAGGAATACACAATTTCATGCTCACAATTCATCACAACACTCGGCAAGCAATACTTCCAGCAGCAAGATGCCGATGACACATTTCAAAAGATTGTACATGATGTTACGGAATCAGCAAACAAACCAGATATTGCCGTTACATTCCAATATCAAACTGAGACTCCTGATGAAAGCTTCTATTCGGTTTCGCTTCACATTCCTCTTGGTGCAGCAGGTATTGATCAAGGAATTAAACAAATGTGCACAGATGATTCTCATATCAATGAAATCTCAACATTCCTCTGGGTCGACGTTCAGAGGAATTGGTCTGATCCAAATGTCTTCTTTGACAAATTTGAGATCAAGAAGAACTACAAAACTCAACTCAGTGATGGAACGTATGTATTTAAGATACATTCCATTATTGCTTATCATCAAGGTCATTTCGTTGCCTTCGTCAACAAAGGAAGAGTTTGGTTCATGCTCGACGATGAAATTACTTACATTGTTCCTGATGGTTTGATCAAAGGTCTTCAAGGTGGAGATGTTGGCAGCGATTTGTGGTCATATCTTGGTGGTGTCAAATGGCTTGCAAAATGTGTCATCTATCGCAAACACAAGTTCTATGGAGCTGGTGATGATGATGATTGAAAACAGTTTAATTTTTTTTAATCTTATTATAAGGGATAATTCTCTAAATATATGATTTTTTCTTAAGTTAGTGAATATTTTTCTTGTGTGCTTTTACTTATTTAAGTATTTAGTATTATTACTTAAAAATTTTGAACATTTATTTTATAATATTGAGATTTAAAATAAACTATTGCTCGATCGTATCTTTATTTGCTCTTTTAATAAAAAATCTAACTTACTATTGATTAGATAAAAAAAAAAAAAAAAAAAAAAAAAAAAAAAGGGATTGGGGCTTCCAGGGGCTGCGCCCCTTCTAGCCCCTAAAAAACCTAGAGGAGGACTGACCCTAAGACTCCGATGAAAAAGAAAGATATTTAAATAAAATAAAATTTTTTAATCTTAAATAGTTTTTTTACTCAGTATAATCTGAGTCTTTAACATCTTCAAATGTTTGTTCCTCTTCATTATCCGAAGATATAATTTCCTCGACTTCTTCTTCTTCGTCATCTGGTGCTACGTGTCCAGCTATAAATACTTTGTAGAGTCCATCTGGAGGTGTCTGTATTATGAATGTGGTATCGTGTAAGAATACAAACTCAACATCCTGTTTGAATTGGCAATTTGAATTAGTGAATTCTGCCAATTTTATAGGATGTCCTTTGGTAGCTTTCGGGAAGCTTGAAATACTAACTTTGCCACCGTATGGAACTCTTTCTGGTGTATCTAACGCTATAGTGGATATGACATGGAAATTGTCTTGAAATTCTGGTAAAGGTTGTATACAATATAACCGTTTTGACTGTCCTGGTTTGGTAAAAAAGTATACGTAAAAGGACCTTTGCCCATACTCATCCAATTCTTCGAGATAGTTGTAGGTATTGGGATATATGCTGACATACTCAGCAATTTTCACATTTCGCAAATAAGTTTGCATATTTTTGGGGAAAAGTCTAATAAATTGGTCGATGGCTTGTAGTGCAATTAGGTTTGCTGTAACAGGCAAGTATTGAACAAACAAGTCCACGAGAACACCTGGGTCTTTAACTTCATTTTCAACTGGTTGCAAACTATCCATAACAGACTGAAACACTTCCGAATAATCGGTGTCGTCTTGAATTCCCCATTGGTTTTTGAGTTTTTCAAGGAGTTGAAGTCTTTTTTTAGCATATTGCCTGCGAACACGTTCAGGTATGGTAGTGTTTTCTTCTGTATTTTCTGTATCTCCTGATTGAAATTGCTTCGCGAACGCGAGGTATCTCATCTGGGACCTTGTCGTCATCGATGACGCGCTTGGTTGTTCCTCTGTTGTTTCGTTTGTTTGTATGGTATTTTCTTGAGTAGATTGTCTTGAATTGTTGGACAATTGGTTTGCAATTGGAGAAGACTGTAAAACTTGTCCTGTTGTGTCTGGTACAACTGTATCTGTTGTTTCGTTTGTTTGTATGGTATTTTCTTGAGTAGATTGTCTTGAATTGTTGGACAATTGGTTTGCAATTGGAGAAGACTGTAAAACTTGTCCTGTTGTGTCTGGTACAACTGTATCTGTTGTTTCGTTTGTTTGTATGGTATTTTCTTGAGTAGAATGTCTTGAATTGTTGGACAATTTGTTTGCAATTGTATGAGGAAGTTGCTTTGGTATTATAGGAGGTTGTAAGGGTTTTGAGAATGGTGAGACATAAGTTGTAGGAACTTTAACTGCAGAGGTAGTCGACGAATTGTTTGCAATTGTATGAGGAAGTTGCTTTGGTATTATAGGAGGTTGTAAGGGTTTTGAGAATGGTGAGACATAAGTTGTAGGAACTTTAACTGCAGAGGTAGTCGACGAATTGTTTGCAATTGTATGAGGAAGTTGCTTTGGTATTATAGGAGGTTGTAAGGGTTTTGAGAATGGTGAGACATAAGTTGTAGGAACTTTAACTGCAGAGGTAGTCGACGAATTGTTTGCGACACTTTTTCTTCCTTCCATTAGACAAAAATAAACTGTTTTTTTCGGACCACTCATAGAAAAGTTTGAGATGAACCGTTTTCGTCAACGGTAACCCCCTCTATTTTTTTATTTTATTTAAAAGTTACCGTTGGAAAACCGTTCTATCTCAAATATTGAATGAACTATAAACGTTTTTTGTTTTCTATATATACTTTTTTGTCCAACGGTAAAACTTTTTGCACAACGGTTTTTGAGAGTCGTCGCCGTTGACCGAGTAGTTTTTTGTGCTGAACAAAAAGTGTCATATAACATCTGTCAAAAACCGCTTTTTAACTTCACTTAAAATGCCACGTAAGCTACGTAAGAATATACGTAAGAGGAAGAGAGCATTGAAACATCCAATAGTAAAACTGACACCACAACAACAGTTGCAACAACAAATGATGAATGACCCCACTATGTTGCAACAAATGTCAAGCAACCCTATGCTTTTAAACCGAGTTCTTGGTGCACAGAGTGGAGGTTTAAGAGCGGCACTTTTAGCGAAAATGGCAGGCTATGGTGGAGCTGCAGACGGAACAGCCTATAACCCTCAAAGTCAAATGAATTTGAGTTCACTCAAAAATCAAATATCAGATGTCAAAAAGTCAAACATAGACATACAGAAGCAAATAAGTGAAAACGAAAAGAAACTAGAATATGACAGACACACAAAGAAACTCAATGAGTTAAACGTAGAGAAAAAGAAGAAAGAAGAACAACTGAAAGAACTAAGTACAGAGGAATATGCGAAAAAAGTGTCAGAAAAAGCAGCAGAAGTAGCAAAAATGGAACAAGATGTCATAAATTTGAAAAACCATACTACTCAATATAAAATACTGAAAGATGAAGAGATAAAACAAAAAGCCCTGAAGACATATATGGATAGCGATGAGTATAAAAAAGAAGTTGAAGCAAATGTAAAGGCAGAAAAACTTTTACAGTTGCAAAACCAAACCGTACAGTATGAAAACTTAGCACAAGAAAGTAAAAATAACGACGCGGCTATGCAAAAGGCAATGAAAAGCGCAGAATATATAAAAGCTAACAATGACTGGTTAGATGCCCAAGCCAACGCTAAAGCAGCCCAACTCATAGGGTCAATAAGGACAAAAATACAAGCGGATGAAGACAGTTCAAATGAAGCTTTAACAAATGCTGACTTTAAGAACGCTTTCGAAGCTCTTCATAGTAAGGTGAAACAAGTGAACGACTTCTCATCTGGAAAGAAACTGAAGTCTGAAGGTTTCGACAAAGAGTTAAAAGAAGTAGCACAAAATATGACGAAAATAACAGATGCAGCAACGAGACAGGCAGTTCAAAGTGCCTATGACGCCGTTAGAGCAACTGTTGTGAAAGTCAAGAAAAAGAGTTACAACAGACCAAAACAGACCTAGTAAATGCTTTCTTAAGAACGAAAAGTCAGGTAGGACATTACGCTGCAGATGGAACATATGTGCCAGCTGGTGGAACTTATATACCACCAAACCCTCCAAGAGAAGCACCTGCACCAGGACTACCTAAAACATTTACATCGTCACATGGACACAGACACAGGCATGCACCAAAACCAACACAACAACCAGCACAACAACCAACAGTTCAAAACCCTGCACAACAACCACCTCCACAACCAGCACAACAACCAGCACAGCAACCAACAGTTCAAAACCCTGCACAACAACAACCACAAACAGAGCAAGGACATAAAAGAAGTAGAGAACAAGGAAACCAAGAATTCTTAAAAATGCTTAAAGAAGAGTGTGGTTTCCCAGATACTGTTGACTTTAGTGACAGATATAAAGAAGCTATTGGAAAGTTCAAGGATGGAAATACTGACCCGAACCTATTTAGCTTTATGGCTCAGCACCAAAACGGATATAATCTCAAACCTGGAAAATACAAGCTCGCTAAGGGATATGATTTAATAGCATATCATCCAAATGACATGATGAATTTACTCCGAGATATTTGATGTCAGAGCTAAATGACAATTCAACTTTCGTCATGAAACGCGTAAAAAATAGAGACGGAACGAAAGAACAAAAGCTTATGAATGCGGATGACGTAGATTTGTTGAAAACGGTCTCGGAATATATGAAATGCCAGCAGATGAGGTACAAGAAACTCCACAGGAAGAAGTTCAGATACAACCAGACATGGAAGAAATAGTTCAGCAACAACAGCTAGAAGAGCCTGAAGGAAACGAACAAGTCACTCCTTTGGAAACTAACTTCACAGAACTAGATGAAGATTTGGAACAGCCGAAAAATCTTGACCCTCAACAAGAGTATGCGGAGAATATGGAATATTTCCAAGAGTCTAAAAAAAATTCGGCTGACATAGTAGAAGAATATCGAAAAATGTTTGCCGACATACAAAAGACTCCAACATCAGATGAAAATATTCGCATAGAATGGAAGACTGAAAGAAAATGTACACAAATACAACAACCCTTTTTACTTACGAGCATTTAACGTTCAATCTTCGGATGAACTCGGTGAAATAAAAGGTTAAATTTCAAGAAAACATATAGAAATGAAACATTGTTTAAAGTTCATTCAGAACCTAACCAAGATGGAAACAAACCTACTTTTGTTTCTGCAGACGATGGAACTACAATGAGATGGGGTCATAAAGCTAATCCAGATAGGTGGTTCATAAACTTACAACCACAATTCCAAGAAGTTGTAGACGCAATGGAAGTCAATGGTGAACCAGATATAGCTGGTATTTTCAGCGCGGCTTTAATGCCATTGAAAGATATGAAACATGCAGATATTTTGGACCAGTATGAAATGAACATGGCTGATGGAAATATAACACCTGACGTTCTAGAACATTTATCTCAAAGAACTACACAGAACCATAGAGATGGTATATTTGGTGAAGAGTTTAGAAAGAAAGTTAGGGAGAGGAAGGAAGAGAACCTATTGTACATGACCTTGCAAACGAAAGTTTACAAAATGTCATAAAAACTTACTTTGCAGACAATGAACCGAGAAGGGATGAATATTTAAGAAAACTCAAATGGACAGTACCAAATGAAATGTTAGTATTGAAAAACATGTTCCTTGACAAAATAAAACCAACTACAGAAATAAACGACGCAAGACTGAAAGATTGGGTAAAAGCTTTCCCATTCACAAAAGATATATTGGTAACATGGAAAGAAAACCAGAATGGCTACAAAAACATATATTTGGAAACGAGCATATTCCATATGGACAGGCACTGTTTGAAGAGCTTGAACCGAAACTCAGGAAAGAGTCATGCAAACAATACGCGAAGACTCAAATACAGACTATGACAAACTCTTTCTAGGATATAGGTTACCTGAGATGGGCGACCAGAGCCAAAAGGCAAAAAGGACATGGGAAATTTGCAACATACTAGATGAACATAATGCAAAGATGCAACAACTTCAAGCAGAGGGCAATGAAGGAAAAAGAAGAGTTAAAAACTCAGTCAGGAAGAAAGTAAAGCTTGGTCGAGTGGGTTCTATTATGACATATAAATCCAACTATTCTATATTTTTACTCATATGAAATGTACGCCGCTCAGAATATAACGCCAACAGTTTTGGATGCTATGAATGGAAATGTTTCCGAATGGTATAACGAATGCGACAATGCCATTAGAAGGTCAGAAATAGTTCCTGGAACTTACGAATATACAACTGCTGTTTCTTATGGAAACGTAGGTGAGTTTGGAGAAGGTTCTTCAACAACAGTAGATATTGCTTGCGACAGGTTTCATATTATTTCTATTGACAACTCATTCTTATACGTGGAACAAGACATTGAAATAAAACCTTCTGCCAAGTTGTCTGACAAGAAAGGTTGCAATGGAATTTTCTATGTCGGATACCAATATGCTCCAGAAGTTTTCATGGGATATAAGATATATTCTAACTCTGACTTAGTTCAAACAGTAACATGGGCAAACTATGAATGGTTCGCTTTGAGAAACTCAGTACAACCACAAGCTAGAGAACAAACAGACCAGTATGCAACTATTGAGAAAATAAGAAGACTTGACCCTAACGTTCCAGGAGTTTATGTTAACCTTTCTGGTTCAAAACTGCTGCCACTAAAGTAAAACTGAAACTTAGAGTTCCTTTGTCATCTTTCCTCATCTTCAGGTTTTTAAGATACTTGCCAAACTGGGCAGGAAAAATTTCTATCGAACTTACTCCAAGCAAAAATAACTTAGTCATTGCACCAACACAAGACCCATTCACTTACTGTAGCTGAACTGGGAGCCAAGTCTTCGACTTTTGCAAAGACAAAGTTGACTTAGACTTTGGTTTCTCAAACCTCAACACTGAAGTAAACTATTATTTCAATGCTGCTGGAACTGCTTGGGACCCAGTTAAGTTCACATGCGAAAAGTTTGAATGCAAGAGAATAGAAAGCAGACTTGCAGTCTATATGTTGGACCCAGATATTTCAAATGCTTTAGCTGCCAAATATATTGCAGTTCCACTTATGTTCCCTATACACCAAATATCTGTCAAAGACTTTGCAGGTGAAGTTGGAAACCAAAGTGCTGACCCAGGTGCAAGAACAGATATTGCTTTAACAACTGCAATGAAACATGCAGATACTATGTTTGTACTGTTCAGACGAACTATAAATGACTATTCTTGTTTACAACCCTGGTATTAAATATCATATAAACATAGATGGCAAATATTATCCAAGAGAAGAATATTCTACAGTTGAGGATATGAGGTCATACAACTTGACATTAGATGCTATGAACTTTAACAACAACTTCACAACAACCATTAACCCTGAAATGCAAAGTTCTATTATGCCATATGTGAAAGTATGGACCATACAGGAGCTCAAAAACTCAATATACAAATGGAGACCGTTCAAACTTTTGGCTTGGCATTCCATTTGCTGACTCAGAAGACTTTATGGGTGGTATTTCAACTGTTGGTACAGTTCAAATACAATATACTGGTGACAGAGACGGTCCAGATGAATTGAAAGCAAAGAAGTTTACAAAACCAATAGCACTTTTCACGGAAGATGCTCTTTTGAAATTCGTTCGATGAAACCTGCTGGGGCTCCTCAGATTGGTATAACGACAGCTTCCATCGAGCAGATTTTGGCAGCAGGTCAGTAAGTTGTTCTTGAACTGACTTCTCTCCGTCAAATATTGACAGTACGCCAGTTTTGACATAAAATTGATAAACTTACCTTTAGAAATATCTGTAGTTTTGTTGTTATATTTTTGTCTGCTTCAAGAACTTTCACCATTTCAGTTATACCAACTTTCTTTGCTTTATGAAAATATTTTGGTTCAGCAAAGACTGCTATTCTATAACATTTCCATTGTTTGTATAAAGAACTATTCTGTCAATGTATTTGTATTGTTTGTGTGTGTAAACTTTGTTCTGCTTCAATTCGAAGAGATACTCAAATACGTCCATCTTTTATTCTAAGTAAAATGTCATTTCCGAAAAATAGAAGCGTAAGTGTTTCAAAAGGTTTAATGGCGGTGGCAGATGTGAAGTTAAATTCACCAACTCAAACAAACAGTCAAAGTGTTGTTGTCAATGTCAAAGAAAGAGATGTTGAAGTGGGGAAACCATACGAAGACGAAGATGGTATAACAATTGTTCCTGTAAAAGAACAACCAACATATCCTGAAGTTAGCAGAGACTTAAGTTCTGTTGCAGATATTCGAAACGACTACCAACAACTTAAAGACAAACTTAAAACTCAGGAGAAGATTTGTCAAGCTTTGGTATAATGTTAAACTTGGTCGAACACAACCCTGTAAAAGTGAACTCATATGTCATTGCACCTCATGAAGTTTTGAAAGAACTATTGAAACTTTTGACAGAGGCAGACGATATAAACATCAAAGAAATAGAACCCGACATTGCTTGCTGTGGTGTTTCATATAATGTCATTGACAAGATATACGTTATGAAAGGAGGTGAAACGTTGAACTTAAAATATAGTTTCCCAGACGTCATAAAAATATTTGACGACCACAACATTTCATTAAAATTTACTTGCTAAGTAAATGGCAGAAGACATAGTGGTTTATACTATTACGACTAAAAACCCTGAGTCATATAATTCTATAACAACAAACTTACAAAGTCCTCAAGGACGATATTGTAAACTAACTTAAACACAATGACGACTAAAGCCTGTTTTGCTCTTTTGACACCAGAAGACTTTGTTGTTGTGAATGGTAAAAAATACTTCTTTGAAGATACTTACTCAGATATACCACCAACAGGTTTTGTTGACTTATTTAATACTTTAAGGACGGATGTAACATGTGCTGCAACTAGAGCAGGTTTCATTATGTTTGGATGTCCGACTGAGTTTACTATAAACGATATGAGCTATAATACAAAACTTATTTCTGGTTTTTACTACCAACAGTTTCCTATAACAGGAAAAGGGTGTCATACAAGGAATGTCTATTCCATTGACTTTAAGCACACCTATTTTATATATTGTTTCAAACTTAGGTTCAAAGTGCTATTCGAATGTCGACAGAAACTACTATGACCAAAAGATACTCATGCGTATAAACAACACTTTCTCTGCTGGTTTGCCTATTGTTCATTCGAATGCAGAGTTTTCAGCTTTAGTAAACTCAAACACTTTAGCAAACATAAACTTAACCTTAGTTGACGCAAACTTTGTTCCTGTAAAACTTTTATGTCCTATGTATTTGTCAATGACGGCAGAAAGTTTCGAATTGG